CACAGCCATTGTGTTGACTGGTGTGGTTGGAAAGCAAGTCCTTCTACTAAGGGCCGGGTTCCACTGCGGCTCCGCGGCTCCGCTGCACCGCGGCACTTGGCTGCATGTAGCGGAGCAGCGCGGTTCCACTGACACTCGCCATTCGCGGTACCGCGGTTGTGCTCCACTTTTTTTGATGACGTTTTACCTGCCTACCCGCGCGAAATCAAAAAGATCCTCGTCATCTGGCCTGCGCTGCGTAACGCATTAAAATTTGAATTTTAAAATTCTCGCGTACAAAACAACGCAAAGTACGGGAAACAGGTCGAGCCGCGAGTCCGCGACCGCGGCTCGCAGTTTTTGCTCAAGAATCGTAGCAAAAGCCCGCGGTGAGCCGCGGACTCGCTGCTCCAGCTCGAGCCGCGGTCACTATGGTAATGATGACGTTTCAAGCCGCGAAAGACGAGCAGCGGAGCCGCAGTGGAACCCGGCCCTAAGGGCCGGGTTCCACTGCGGCTCCGCTGCTCCGCTGCTTCCACTGCGGCTCCGCTGCTCGTCTTTCGCGGCTTGAAACGTCATCATTACCATAGTGACCGCGGCTCGAGCTGGAGCAGCGAGTCCGCGGCTCACCGCGAGCTTTTGCTACGATTCTTGACCATTTTCTCTTTTACGTTTACTTTATACCAGGCGTGGGCCATCCCCTGCACATAGGTGCCATCATTGTTCTTTGTTTCAATAAAATTGTAATATTAAAAAAAAAAATTCTTGACCAAAAACTGCGAGCCGCGGTCGCGGCTCGACCTGTTTCCCGTACTTTGCATTGTTTTGTACGCCAGAATTTTAAAATTCAAATTTTAATTCGTTGCGCAGGCCAGGACACGAGGATTTGTTTGACTTCGCGCGCGCAGGCAGGTGAAACGTCATCAAAAAGTGTGGACCACGACCGCGAAGGGCGAGTGACAGTGGAACCGCGCTGCTCCGCTGCATGCAGCCAAGTGCCGCGGAGCAGCGGAGCCGCGGAGCCGCAGTGGAACCCGGCCCTTTTACAAGCATAAGAACCTGCCAAGAGGGAAGGACCTCCGCAACCCAGTCACCCGTGCTGTTATCCAGAGCATTTTTGTTGTCTATGAGCAGCAAAGAGCAAAGTTGGCGGCCCATGGGTCGAGCCAACGAAATGAGTGCCTGAATATGGTTGTGTCAAGCAAGGCACCTAAAGCCAAACAGTATGGATCTTCGGACTCCCTAGATATCAGCATCCATTCCGCTGTCTGCCAGACCAACTTGGGCAGATCATATTTATCAGATTCATTCAAGCACATTGGGATCTCTCCTGGTAAGTGGCTATTCTATTCTGCTTCTTGCTGAGCTGAAGAGTCTTTGGATGGGCATGTACATAATGCATGTGAAGTACATTGCTATATTCAGTTTGGGTGGTAATGTATTTGACTCTTCATTGTAGAGAACTCAAAGTTGCTCAATTGATTACCGTCACCTCTTCTTTGCAGGTGAGCACTGTGAAGACCGCTCTAGACAACAGGATGCCGTGAAAGAGGTCGGTCGCATCTCTCAGAAAAGATGCTCGCTCGACAAAGCGTCGTCGACTTTTCCTGAAGCAAAACCGTGGTATATCGGAGGCCACTCATGTTTTTCGTGAAGGTATGTTTCTGTGATGTGACATACGGCCAAAGGTAAAGACAATAATGCTATAATGGCAAGCTTGATTTCCAAAACACAACGATCAGGGTGCAATGCTCAATGTTCGTCTATACCAGCCAGCAGGATTATGGATAGCATAATTATTGTGATTTTTTCTCTTCTCTGCTTTGGGTATGTTTTGGATTCAGTGTGCATTCCCTTTGCCTTGATGTGAGAATCCCTGATTTCAGTGAATATTGTGTGTGTGTGTGTGTGTGTGTGCGCGCGCGCGTGTGTGTGCGTGCGCGCGCGTGTGTATGTGTGTGTGTGTGTGTGTGTGTGTGTGTGTGTGTGTGTGTGTGTGTGTGTGTGTGTGTGTGTGTGTGTGTGTGTGTGTGTGTGTGTGTGTGTGTGTGTGTGTGTGTGTGTGTGTGTGTGTGTGTGTGTGTGTGTGTGTGTGTGTGTGTGTGTGTGTGTGTGTGTGTGTGTGTGTGTGTGTGTGTGTGTGTGTGTGTGTGTGTGTGTGTGTGTGTGTGTGTGTGTGTGTGTGTGTGTGTGTGTGTGTGTGTGTGTGTGTGTGTGTGTGTGTGTGTGTGTGTGTGTGTGTGTGTGTGTGTGTGTGTGTGTGTGTGTGTGTGTGTGTGTGTGTGTGTGTGTGTGTGTGTGTGTGTGTGTGTGTGTGTGTGTGTGTGTGTGTGTGTGTGTGTGTGTGTGTGTGTGTGTGTGTGTGTGTGTGTGTGTGTGTGTGTGTGTGTGTGTGTGTGTGTGTGTGTGTGTGTGTGTGTGTGTGTGTGTGTGTGTGTGTGTGTGTGTGTGTGTGTGTGTGTGTGTGTGTGTGTGTGTGTGTGTGTGTGTGTGTGTGTGTGTGTGTGTGTGTGTGTGTGTGTGTGTGTGTGTGTGTGTGTGTGTGTGTGTGTGTGTGTGTGTGTGTGTGTGTGTGTGTGTGAGGGACTCACTGGCCAGAAAAAGCCATTTCATAGCTGTGTGGTGCAGACCAGGCTGAATAGTGGCGGTAAATACTTCAGTCTTGCAATCTGTTGAATGGCGCAATCCCAGCACAAGCTGCTATGGCTTCTGCAGTAGCATGTCTATCATCGCCTCCGGCGATGGGCGTCCAATGGTGTGTGTGTGTGTGTGTGTGTGTGTGTGTGTGTGTGTGTGTGTGTGTGTGTGTGTGTGTGTGTGTGTGTGTGTGTGTGTGTGTGTGTGTGTGTGTGTGTGTGTGTGTGTGTGTGTGTGTGTGTGTGTGTGTGTGTGTGTGTGTGTGTGTGTGTGTGTGTGTGTGTGTGTGTGTGTGTGTGTGTGTGTGTGTGTGTGTGTGTGTGTGTGTGTGTGTGTGTGTGTGTGTGTGTGTGTGTGTGTGTGTGTGTGTGTGTGTGTGTGTGTGTGTGTGTGTGTGTGTGTGTGTGTGTGTGTGTGTGTGTGTGTGTGTGTGTGTGTGTGTGTGTGTGTGTGTGTGTGTGTGTGTGTGTGTGTGTGTGTGTGTGTGTGTGTGTGTGTGTGTGTGTGTGTGTGTGTGTGTGTGTGCGTACATGCATGCACGCGCGCGCGCGCGTGTGTGTATATATGTGGGTGTATCATATACATGTATAATATAGTTTATGTCTTTCCCTCAAACTAGTCAAGATATTATGTGTGTGTGTGTGTGTGTGTGTGCACGTGTGTGTGTGTGTGTGTGTGTGTGTGTGCACGTGTGTCAATGTGTATTGCAGGGTTGGGGGGGGGGGGCTAGTAGAGAAGAGTAGATGTATATGGACATGTACATGGGATATGTAGGTGTGCGTGTACATGTAGCAAAGCAAACTTATCAAAAAGGCATTCTGCGCCTATATGGCGAAATTGAGCATTGAAGCATACGTTTTTTCTATTTTCTCATTGACATGTACACGTCTAGTAAATTCAATAGCCAAAAAATGAGGAAGATTGTAAATCAGATTCTTGGTGAAATACCCATCCGCTATACATCACAAATCCTGTACAAATTTGACAATTTAGTGAAATTGTCATCGCCCATATCTCAAAAGTTAGCATTGAGACCCGGTTTTTTATTTCGCCATTTGCATACACTACCTAAGAGCAACCGCCCACCAAATTTTCAGAGCAATCGTTAATTTTTTTGAAATAGGCGTGAGCCACCTCAAGCCTACTTTTTCACCCTGCGAGGCATCAGGGGCGTCGGAAGGTTTATTGGTGTGGTGCGGTCAGCCATCTGAAGTAAAATTAACCGTGGGGGAGGGATGGCTGAGCCGAAAGTCTTGGAAATTTAGAGCCCAAATCAGTGCATTTTATTGATTCAAGGGGTACTTTGGGCAAATAGTGGTGCGCTCAATACCGTAGTGACCGTACCGAGTGCGACGCCCCTGGCCTGCTGGGCATTGACAAAAACTTCAAAGTTAAACTTCTTTGAAAGGATGTAATGCACATGCCTAATCTGCATGTGAAGCTGCCGCAATAATTATGATACCTCTTTTCTCGTACTTCCTTACATGCATCCCTTCTCCTGCTTGCCATGTGCAAGACAATGCGAATGATGGAACCAACACATTAGTACAGGATCCGAAGCTCAAAAATAAAATTGGGTCTGCCACTTCACTCCGAGTATGACGCAGATGCCTGCGAGGATGAACCTCCCAAGAAGCGTGTTATGACACGAAGCAAAGTGATAACCATCGACATCACTCTGTGTATAATATGTCAACAAAAAACAAAACAAAAAAAGAACCGGAAAGCTGAACCGCTTACCCTCTGTTCAGAATTCCGTGCTGGCGAAAGCCTGATCCGTGCGGCAAATGCACGTGGAGATGAAGCAGGCCAGCGGATTTTACTTACCCTCCAGGAGGGCAGTCCCGATTGTGCTACCGTACATATAAACTATTTTTTATGTACTCTTGATATTAGGGAGGTTTAGTCCCACGTAATCCGTGGGTACTTTACGTGTGTGTACCACGTGATACTCAGTGACCCACGTACAGACGTTTTCTGATTCACGACATACCGTGTATGGAGGCTCACCCACGTTCCGCCAGAACGTGGGTGAAAATCAGAATGGAGCGCATTGTGCGAGCTGTGAGGGTGCTCAGCTGAAGAAGTTTCCAAAGCACGAAATTAAAATATTGGATGAGCTTCTTAGGCCCGGGTAACTTCGTCTTTGACCAGGTTTGGGCCTTTCACTTCATGCTTTTGTTTGTTCCGTGTGACTAAACACAACATTGCAACGTGGGTGCCCTTCATCCACTTTGCGTAGATCACCCACGTACGCGTTTCCGTTGCGTGGGAACTAAACCTCCCTAATATGATCATATCCACAACTTGTCAGTATGATGTGCTAGCTGCATTCCCAGCTTGGGCTGCACAAGCTGTTCAAAAGCATACCAAACTGATTGGTTGTGAAGAAGTTTATTAATTCATGCTCCCTTACGGTCACATTCCTGGGATAATGGTTAAAGCCCAAAGGCGCGAAAATCAGTGTGTAAGTCTCGATTAGTGGGAGAGATGACCGTGTTCTTTGCAGGCCTAAGAGTGGTTGTTGTTGTTGTTGTAGAAGTTTATTTAACGTCGCACCACAAACAGGCGATTTCGCCTCCTTTGATACATGTGGACGACAGTGGTTAGCAGTGCGTTTATCAAAGCGGGGTGGTAAAAAGCAGAGAGTACACGTACTACATGTCGTAAAATACCGTTGGTATTTTCAGTACCCCCTGGTGAAAAGCCGCAGGAGCACAAGGGCAGCATGGAAAATGAGGGAAAAAAAACGGGCAAGGTGGCACACAGATGTTTATGACAAAAGGGTCTGAAAGCACAAGTAATTGAGTAAGCAAATTGAGCACATTAAGCACATTGAGTAATAGCATGTCGGTGCAAATGAAGCCTGGAGTGTGTGGCTGATTTCCCTATTCTTCATGTTCAAACAGTTGTCATTGGAAAACGCAAGCCAAACATTATTGTTGACCGAGCTCTCTTGAGAAAAAATGGCAAAATGACAGGGATGTATTGTTTTAAATTGTTATGGGATGAAATATAAGCAAAAGCTGAGCTGAACTGATCAGTTTACTGATCAGAGTGGTTAGCAGTGCGTTTATCAAAGCGGGGTGGTAAAAAGCAGAGAGTACACGTACTACATGTCGTAAAATACCGTTGGTATTTTCAGTACCCCCTGGTGAAAAGCCGCAGGAGCACAAGGGCAGCATGGAAAATGAGGGAAAAAAACGGCCAAGGTGGCACACAGATGTTTATGACAAAAGGGTCTGAAAGCACAAGTAATTGAGTAAGCAAATTGAGCACATTAAGCACATTGAGTAATAGCATGTCGGTGCAAATGAAGCCTGGAGTTTGCGGCTGATTTCCCTGTTCTTCATGTTCAAACAGTTGTCATTGGAAAACGCAAGCCAAACATTATTGTTGACCGAGCTCTCTTGAGAAAAAATGGCAAAATGACAGGGATGTATTGTTTTAAATTGTTATGGGATGAAATATAAGCAAAAGCTGAGCTGAACTGATCAGTTTACTTGTCCTCGCCTACAAGTAAGCATGAGGGTGAAGCGCTGTATGACACAAAGACGAAGAGGAAAAGGAAGAGAACACCAAGCATTAGATCCCAATATCGCTCGAAGGTGGATTAGTTTCGCTGTGAGGAGCACAAAGCCCTGATAACACGACGGAAATACTTCTCAATTAGGCACGCGCCACTGCTCGTTAGCAAACACCGTACCATGCATGCACTATATGCACGAAGTATTGGAGCTCTGGTCTATTTGCATCCAGCATTCATAGGGGGGGGGGGGGGGGGGGCTGTTTAGAGATGTACATGTGATGTTTCTCTTCTGTAGGGAGTTGTGTACAACTCCTTGATCTTGCTTTCCCAGGCATTGCTTTCCCAGGCATTGCTTTCCCTAGCATGTGGGTGTATCTGTGTATCTGTGTGTGTGTGTGTGTGTGTGTGTGTGTGTGTGTGTGTGTGTGTGTGTGTGTGTGTGTGTGTGTGTGTGTGTGTGTGTGTGTGTGTGTGTGTGTGTGTGTGTGTGTGTGTGTGTGTGTGTGTGTGTGTGTGTGTGTGTGTGTGTGTGTGTGTGTGTGTGTGTGTGTGTGTGTGTGTGTGTGTGTGTGTGTGTGTGTGTGTGTGTGTGTGTGTGTGTGTGTGTGTGTGTGTGTGTGTGTGTGTGTGTGTGTGTGTGTGTGTGTGTGTGTGTGTGTGTGTGTGTGTGTGTGTGTGTGTGTGTGTGTGTGTGTGTGTGTGTGTGTGTGTGTGTGTGTGTGTGTGTGTGTGTGTGTGTGTGTGTGTGTGTGTGTGTGTGTGTGTGTGTGTGTGTGTGTGTGTGTGTGTGTGTGTGTGTGTGTGTGTGTGTGTGTGTGTGTGTGTGTGTGTGTGTGTGTGTGTGTGTGTGTGTGTGTGTGTGTGTGTGTGTGTGTGTGTGTGTGTGTGTGTGTGTGTGTGTGTGTGTGTGTGTGTGTGTGTGTGTGTGTGTGTGTGTGTGTGTGTGTGTGTGTGTGTGTGTGTGTGTGTGTGTGTGTGTGTGTGTGTGTGTGTGTGTGTGTGTGTGTGTGTGTGTGTGTGTGTGTGTGTGTGTGTGTGTGTGTGTGTGTGTGTGTGTGTGTGTGTGTGTGTGTGTGTGTGTGTGTGTGTGTGTGTGTGTGTGTGTGTGTGTGTGTGTGTGTGTGTGTGTGTGTGTGTGTGTGTGTGTGTGTGCATGTCCAAGTGTGTGCATGTGCAAGTGTGTGCATGTGCAAGTGTGTGCATGTGCAAGTGTGTGCATGTGCAAGTGTGTGCATGTGCAAGTGTGTGCATGTGCAAGTGTGTGCATGTGCGTGCGTATATGATAGTGAAAGCACAGTAGACTTACAGGTGCATATGACAACGCCTTGTTTGGGAACGGGCTTGGTGAGCACGTTGGTCATGCCCCCTTCTGGCGTGTACCGGAAAGTGCGGTATACGCCGTTAAGCGGTGGTGTGTGAGCAACGGTGTGGACGAACACGTCGATGCCTACTCCGATCGCCTGGAGCATCTTGTTGACGGCAAGATAGACGTCGTTATATGAGGCGTACTCCTCCATGCGGAAGGGGTGAGCAACGGTATGGGAATGGGAAAATTGATTTAGTCGGCATGTTTCAATTCCCTGAGATGGAGACTCGTATCTGAGGGTTCCTCGCAACATCTGGTAGATGACCGAGTATTTTACAATCTTTCCATGCTCCATTTTGTTGATGTTCCTTTGAATAATCGTATCTGAACACAAGAAACCAGATCAGCACCAGTGGATGTTAACAAGCCGGCGTGGAGACAAGAAACCTAATATTGATGAAAGTAAAGTGAGTGCACTCATACAACAATGGAACTCTATTCATACCACCTCTTGAGAGCTGGCTCCGGGCCTGTTCACAAATTGCGTACCGGTACATGGGAATCCCTACCCCTACTCAAGACTTCAAGACAGTGGATTGCTGATCCCGGCGAACTCCCACGCATCACTCCCACCTTCTATATTTGACAGTACGCAATGGCTCTATATGGAGATCCCCACAGCTGCTCAAGACCTGCTCAAGACCTCTCACCCCCCCCCCCCCCCGGCCAGATCTAGCACTGCTACCATCACCATGGACACCATCATATTACACACACTGACACAATAAAACTCACCATGGCACACTTGGGTAGTGAAGCTGGTCGAACGACACAGCTTTTCCGAGGAGCAAGGTCTATTAGTCCAAGTCGAACACGTGTCCAAGTCTGTGCAGGAGCAGCAGTTGCAACAAGACAGTTAGCCCGTGACCAATGCAGCATGGGCTTTCCCAGGGCAACGACAATGTCACGAAAAAAGGTCACAAAAACAACGTCACAGAACATGCAATACCGAATTGAGGATCAAAAGGACAAAAGGACAAAAAAACCACTCAAAATCTGGGTCTGGGATCTGTTTCATCCATACATTTTGCAATGGCATACCTGTTCCAATTTTGTCAACCCTTGCTAAATTTCTATTTACCTGTTCTTGGACGTTTCTGGCCTCAAACATGGCAAGCAGTATGTGCACGGGTCACACAATGAATGGAATTTAGGTGCCTAAAATCTACACAGAAAGTGTGTCTCACAGCATGCTGCCAGCTAGACACTGAAGGACAACATCAGAGCAAGCCAACGCTAATCCACTACTCACTGTCTCGGTGGCAGACGACCGCATTCGTTCCCTCGTCGTAGTGCACCTCATTGGCCACTGGGTCGTACGCCTCGTTCATATCATAGAAGCCAACCATAGAGACCCAGAACTTATCTTGTCCCTTATTGCGGAGAGTTCGGATGACACTTTCGCGGAAACAGCTGTTGTTCTGCGAGACCAGGCGCAGTGTGTTAAACGTGAGCATGATCTTCCCTTGGCTTCTGCAGTAGCTTGTGCCGGCATCGAATGTAAAGTTGTTGGCGGAGACGTGGAAGTCTGCTCCCATGCAGGTATGCGTGGACTCGGCGACAAAGTCCTCCAGTAGCTGAGCTGTGAAATGCAGAAAGCAAAACACGAGAAAGCGCAAGCATCATCAAAAGCAGATTTTTTCGCTTTTTTCGATTTTTTCTTGGATACCTATAGTGTGCGGTGCTGTTTATTTATTTAATTTTTTATATTCTTATTTCACTAGGGAATTCCCCACAGGCGTCATCGCCTTCTTACAGGGAACCCTGAGAAGTGCTACGTTTGGAGAATACGCTCTAGAAATACATGCACGTGCAAGAAAAAACAGTGATTGACGGACGTACCCATAGCGGGGGTCCGTGAACACAGTATGTATGGGGAAGGTATTAGGGTCTGTTCATCTATAAGCGGCATCTCTGAGACAGTCTTCCATCTGAATAGCGTTATGGAAGTGTACAGTCATGCATGAGGTTTACTCTTCAATTATTTTTTCCACAACCCAAGAAAATCGTAAGCTGATACAGACGACATTGTGCTAGCATGGAATGTACCGTGTGTGTGTGTGTATACTTTCTATTTGAAGTATACATACCTGTTAACCATGGACTACTTCTGGCTAGATTAACTCTTGTGTAATCATGGTGCTAGTGAAGCTTGTGTAAGATCCATTCTGATTTAGCCACCGCACTAGTAGCAAGTATTACCTTCACTGGGGGCAGGGGTAACTGCAGTTGGATCCCGGGACGGATACCCTGATGCTGTCAATCCGTTTTCTGCACCTTGTCCTCACCCACTTACTGAGGTGTGGTGAGCCCATAAGTGGGATCATTTTCAAGTCCACCCAGAGTTTTGGGGATTTCAGGGGGTGTCGGCTGTTGGGCGGTTCAATAGCCAGTTGAGTCATCTTTTCAAGATTCCTTTTGAGTCTCTCTCCCCTCTCCCGGGGAGACCCACGTGACCAGTTTTGGCAGTGAGCAACAAGTACAAGTGTGTGTGTGTGTGTCTGTGCGTGTGCATGTGCGTGCATGTGTGTGTGTGTGTGTGTGTGTGTGTGTGTGTGTGTGCCGATGTCCCTGCTGTATCTATTCGCCATGACGGTGAGACAGACGTCGAGGACCCTCGGTCATTCGCAACGCTGTCACCTCCAAAGTACTACTTCATACTGTTGTGCCCAGCGCGGGCTTGCGACTAGTTGGTTTGGAGGTGACAGCGTTGCGAATGACCGAGGGTCCTCGACGTCTGTCTCACCGTCCAGGAGCGACACTGACTCACGCTGCTATCTGGTGTTCACGAGGTGTTTGTCGCGCTGGAAACGGAGCGTTTCTGTAAGTTTGTATCCCTGGTGATGTTTGTGCCTGGAGAGCACTATATAAGTGGTGCTCTTCAGGCACAATCTTCCTCAGCCTACTCAAGCTCAACTGATGAGGGGTGAATTCCCCGAAACTCTGTGTACTTTCTTGCAGGTTTGCCGAGTCTAAGGTTCGATGGACTTCTCGTGTGCTCTGGATGGCAGTCGTGAGTCAGTCAAATGTCAAGTAAAGTCGGCGGAATAGCGCGACCTCCGGTGTGGGGAGCGAACCCTTTCTTACAAACCATCGCCGAAGTCACAACCACTACTTAGTCCATATGTAATGTGAAAATTAGAGTGGTCTGGGGAATTCTCCACACAGAATATCATCTGCCATTTAAATTTGATTTCCCCCTTCACCCAACTCTGCTATCAAACACACACTTACTTTTGGGAGGATGTTTGAAAATCCCTGTGAGGAAAAACAGAAGAATAAGAAAGGCCATTTCATTATAACATACGGCTTAGCGTGTTTTGGGTCCAGATTTCTACGCGGAGATGAGGTTCTCTACGTTGTGGCACACGCAGAGAAAAACGCACAGATCTGCAGGGCATCGATCAAGTGCAGGCAGAAAACTGCCAAATATGGAAGGGGAAAGTCCCAGTACACATTCCACGTGATTTCTCTGCGTGAACATAGAGCAGAACAGATTTTCTTTACGTTACGGGAAAGCGAAGAGGCCTACGTGATTTCTCTGCGTTTCACGTACAGCAGAACCTCTCTCCTAGCTGGAAATTGGATTTGTTTTACACACAGGGAACACCATGCCTGCCACCGTCCCGTCGCTCACCCCGAGATTGTGGTGAACAGGTCGCCCGTCAAAACACATTGGAAAGAGCATGCAACATGTGACAAATGCGTCTCCACCAGCGCCTGGAGCGATTCGGAAGCTTGTTCGTTTTCGCCCAAGCCATGGAAGGGCTTCCCGGTAACTGCTTTGACTCAACACGAGTGTCGGACATCAAAGTGAACGTGAACTGTGCTTCGCCTGTTCGCAAGCGATTCAAAAAATTTCTCGTTCGTGACCCCAAAAAGTGACCCTTGTTACACCCGTGAAAAAACTCTATTAAAAACAACATTTTGATGCCTAATTTATTTTACGTGATTGCCGCATGTGTGTGTGTGTGTGTGTGTGTGTGTGTATGTGTGTGTGGGGGGGGGGGGGGGGTGAACAGTACAGTGCGTGCATGTGTATGCGTACATGTATATCTACGGGTGTGCATGCACACACACACACATACACACACACACACACACACACACTTACAAGTGCAGATGGAAACGCCAGTACTTGGCACAGGGCTGCTGAGCGAGTTGGTCGGGTGTGGGGCCAAATGGAAGGTGCGGAACTCTCCACGTTGTACACCGCTCCCCGCATCGGCGGGGTTGACCAAGCTGCGTACGTACACTGGGATTGTGGCAGAGATTCCACTGAGGAGGGTGTTCACAGTGTTGGCAACGGCTGGAGATTCGGTGTACTCTTCCATTCGGAACGGATCGGAGTGGGCATATTCGTTGCCTTTCTTGCACTTTGCGAATGCATGCTTTGCATCGGTGTAGCTGATGTCGCCACCGGCCAATTCGTAGCCAATCGTGTATTTCACGAGCCCTCCTCCATGCTCGTGCTTGACTACGTCCACGGTGGCATTTGTATCTGCACGAAAGCGAACAGAACATAAAGGTAGACCTGTTATTCGTGCCATTATGAGCACTCACTATCAGCAGATGCTGTACCGTCAACACCAACACCAGCACCAGCCCTAACACCAACACCAACATCACCTGCACGAACATCACCAGACCCAGCAGCACAAGCAGCACCACCACCAACACCAGCACCAACGCTAGCCCTAACACCAACACCAACACCAACATCACCAGCATCAGCAGCACAAGCATACGCACAAGAAAACTCACCGTGGCACTTGTGGGTGGCAAGGTCTGTGGAACGACAAATCTTGTGGCTACCACAAGGATTGAATCCATCGTCAGATCCACATGTGTCCATGTCTGTACAGCAGAGTTTCAACAAAAGAATGTTAGGACGTGAAAAACATCGGCAGGTGACCAGGCCAGGAGCAAGGTAAAACCAAGAGTACATAATCCACAAGAGTGTGCAGCTTTCACCACAATCTCTCTACAGTGCTGCAACGGCAGAACTTCACATTACGTGACATGGCTCAAAAGGTTAAGATGGCAAATAGTGCAAAGTCACCACAGAGTAGAGTCGCAAAGTAGAGTCGCAAAGTAGAGTCTGAGGACTAGTGGAAAAGCTCATGAGGTTGATTGCAACCAGATTGAAGTTTGCTCTTTTCTGAAGCCCCAAGGCCAATTCACAATACAAATTTTTGCGACGCGGCATGCGATTTGCGACAGTTACAAGACAATGCCAGTCGCGTACCGTCGCAAGATAACTGTCGAAGAAAGTTCAACCTTTGGGGCAGGGGACGCGCGACGTACATCAATGGAGTTTTTTTTTGTTTTTTTTTTGAACGCACCCTTACGTTTATAATACCAGAAAAATAATAATATGTAGCGCAAAATAAAGAGAAGGAAAATAATAACCGGTCAAGCGCTAAATACAAACAGAAGAAAAAGAAATCATAAGCCAATACGCGCTAAACTGCGCTTAAATTATAATGAAGGGAGAAAAACTGGAATCCGCGGAAATTATAACATACAAAATGATACAGAGAAAAGGGGAAACAGACAGGTTGTCTACAGATGACACTCGGAGACAGCAAGTGTGGCAGAATATGCATGAGGGTCATACCTGCTCGACTTGTGGCGATGCCCACGAAGGCATGCCACGGCCGCCTTCACGAGAGCAAAGGACAGCTGGGCTCTGATCAAAGCCATTGCCACAGAGAAAGGCTCACCATTCTTCTCAGACTTGATGCCTGCAATGCAGCCAAAGAGAGCGGAGGCTGCCTTCCCTTGGCCACCAGTCGTACTGAACACCACGGGGATGAAGGAAGCATGCTCAACGTTGAGAATGCGACTCTCATAACTCCTCCGTTTCTCCTCTTCGTGCTTTCTGTAGCTGCCAGCGATCGTTGGTTTCCGATTTGAGGGGGCAAATGGGTTGAAAACCCGGACATCTAGAAAGGTCCTCTCAAACCGTCCACCGTGTAGACCGCTGACAACTACATCCAGCCGAGCTTGTTCTGCCGTGATGGTGGACCGCAGCGGAAAGCGCTCACCGGTCACAGGCTGGAGGTGCGGCTCAACATGAACATCATGTGCGACGTCGCGTAGCAGTGCTGCTGTTAGGTCTCGGACCTCGTTGTGCCGTAAGGAGGGGTAACCACCGATGGCACATGACATGGCATGGGTGGTCGAGAATGGCTTTCCACACGCGCATGTTGCAGGTAAGCGATCAGGATCCCATCCATACCTGAGGCATATGGCATCGCGGAAGGCGCCCTTGTGCAGGGTGAAGCCATGCCTTCGCAATGGCCGACATGTCAGCCAACTTGAGGCGCCTTTCTCCGAGGCAAGCTGTAGGGTGCGTTGCAGGTTTGGCTCGAGTTGGGCCATCAGGGTGACGACATGGTCCTTCTCCTTCTTCCCAGCGGCTGTCCTAGCTGTTGCCTTCAGTACGCGCATCCGCCCTGAGATGCCTTCCATGGATGACTGCTGTTGGATGATGTTGTCAATGAGTGGATGGGTGATGGACAGAGAGCGCTGATGTTCATCGCTCAGCTGACTGGGGTTAACAATACCGAGACCACCGAGACGACACGGAAGGTCAAGCACAGCGCGGATCACCGAATTCGGTGGGTGACGCCCTGTCAATGCTGGAATGAAATCATTGCGGATCACATCCTCAAGTGGCTGTAGCAGATCTGCTGCTCCAGGTACAGTACGAACCAGAAATGACCATTTGTGCTTGAGGCCTTGGCTAAATGCAGTGTAGGCGGCTTGCGGTTGGCTAAGTGCATAGGTTGCGAGGCGCTTGACTTCTTTGCACCATTGCTCTGCCTTTTGAGCGACGTACTGATTGCAATACTGCTCTGTGCCCAGGACAGCTCCAAGATGTCGGTGACCGTCCGCGGTTACGCGAACTTCAGTGTCGGCGAACACTTCTCGCGCGATGTTGAGGAACTGTGGTTTGACGAGTAACACAGACTTTGCAGCATTCGTATAGTAGCCGTAAGCTGGACCACGCGTTTCCAGGATAGACCACCATTCTCTGAGACGAATTATCTTACTTGCAGCTGTAGAATCATCAGCGTACCACGCTTGTACGGCGTTGGCTGCAGCAGCTTCGCGGATTAATGGCAACGTCCCTAGAGCATACATCACCATGGCGAGGGGATCCCCCTGCGTTGTGCCCTCAGCAGACTGAAGGGTCTCCCCGTCGACAAACAGCTTTGCGGGCTGTCGATACGTGTTGGTAAGGACTACGGCGAGTGCGGGGCATAGGTGTTGAACATTCAGGAGACACACAGAACGGTTTAAGCGATTGAACGCGTTGGAAGCGTCTGCAAAGAGAATACCCTCTGTGTCGTCCTGCTGGAAGATTTCTCTCATGGCATGGATTGCTGCCTCTATGCCAATGGAGTACAGTTTCTACCCCGGGTGCACATGCATATTCGTACTCAGTACTAGTGCATAAGGATGGCACAACCAGGGAGTCGGTATTTTACGACTCCCTGCACAACCACTAAACAGTCGTAAAAAGTTGTATTGTGGATCGGCCTTTATAATTAGACGTGTGGATAAGGACAAATGCACAATGGAAAATGGAAATCTGGCCAAAGCCCTGCCTCTGCAGTAGCAACACTAGTCGGACACAGGTCCTGTTTGGCTAGATAATGAACCAAGAGCAGACAATCCCCCAAGAGTGTGCAACTCCCACATACCCTGCTGTGCCGACAAATTTTGAAGTGGACATTTGAAACTCGGATGTTGAGCCAATAATAAATGTAGAAAGGAAAAGGACATTATGGATACGAGTTGAATGTCTCAGTACTCGTCAGTTTTGTGCCTAGTTGTTGCACTTGACATCATTTGAAAAAAAAGAAGGTATTATGATGCAATGGTCTACGCGTAAGTGATTAGTATGGTGTTTGCTTGTACGGGGTAAACGCATCACATGTGTTCGTTTCCTTGTACAAGCAAAGCAAGATCAAGCCGGACTTGTCCACCACATGTCCAGGATATGTCTTATTATACGTGCACAAGGTGCATTGTATCATACGGATGACGTCTTGAAATTCTCTTGGGACAGCACCCAGAGTAGAGTTGCACACTCTTGGGGGTTATGTACTGCTGGCTGAATGGACCGGGGGGGGGGGGGGGGGAGGGGGGGGGGGAGTGAGTTGTTGAAACACTATCAACAGACATGTATCTCGCATGGGGCATGGGGGGGGGGGGGGGTTCGGGGCACATGTTGTACCCCCTAAACATTTAGACCAACGTTCAGCATGCACATGATGACCATGAATGATACACACGAACCATCCTGCACATATGCGGCCGTGCAACCCCCTGAAAGGGGGACCAGCTATGCCTCTGATCCATTACTCACTGGGTTGTGTGCAAATGACTGCATGCTCGCCGGACTTGTCTTGAAGGAGCGTGGCCTGTGTGGGCTCGTACACCTCATACTTGTTGTAGTCGCCAAACTTGGAAATCCAGAAGTCACCGTGCCCCTTAGCCTTGAGAGTTTCCACAATGTCCAGACTGAAGCAACCGTTGCCCTCCATCAGCACACGCATCGAGTTGAAGGTGAGCATGACCTTGTTTTGTTTTTCGCACAGGTTCAAGGCACTATTGTAGTCGTAGTTGTCGGCTGAGACGAAGAACTGCTCGCCGCCACAGGTGTGTGTCGAATCTGAATACGAGGTGAGTACCTCAGCTGTAAAACAGATAGAACACAGCCGAGAAGAAAGTGTGCTACCATCAGCAGAACTTGAGGTCCTGCTTGAAACGACCGTTATAAGTCGCACACGATTTTCCAGCTATGGAGAGAAACATTATGCTCTTGAAATTCACATAGGAAAGACTGTCATGGCGAGATATTCAGATACACCGTGTGCCATAGCCAAGTTTTTCCCTAACACTGTGCAATCAGTCTTGACAGCAGTGTAAGTTTCGAAAATGCAGCCCATCTCGGGGATACAGCAAAGGCTGTAATTAAAGACCACCGTGACTAGCGACCAGCCTGGTACTACAGACCACATTGCCAGGCACGGACGCTCTCACATTCATATATATATATATCTATATATTATGGTTGTGTGGTGCAAACCTCTAAATAAGGACCACCTGCCACTAAAGACAGCTTTCTCGAACCCATGGGGCGGTCGTTAGTTACAGATTTCACTGTAAATACGCCCCAAACATTTGGTCCAGCGTACGTGAAAGTGGGTGCCTAGCTGCACTTGGAAGAAGCTGAGAAAAATTTCTCTGAAGTTTGATCTTTCCAACATGTGTGGATAAAGACAGATCACACAGCAACATCACCACAGCATCAATCGTGGATGCATTTCAATATTTTATTCATTTCTATTTTATGTTCTCCCCATATAAGAGTGTTTTATTTGTTTTTCATCCGTAGTTACGTATGTTCACTGTAACGGTTGCGAACATACTCCTTTCACGTGATCTCCCACGTGTCTATTACTATTGTAGTTTTCCATAACCAATAAACGAATGGTTACTGCACAGTTTTTTTTCTCTTGGTTAGGAGTCATCCACAATTATCAAACTTTGTGGGGTGGGAGGGGTTGACCAATTTCGTTTCAGAAAACATTGATGCGTGTACCGTAGTTCCGCGCATATAAGCCCATGGGCTAATATATGAAATAATGCATTTTCCGGGAAAATAAATCAGTAATAATGGTTCGTTTTTTAGCCCTGGGCCTATATTCGAATTTTGAAGGCAGCTAGCACGTGAAAAAGCACAAGTCCGTCCGCGGTTGTCCGCCTACCATAGGTACCGGTACTGGCAATGTAGTCTGCACTGACATGCTGTACTACAGTGTTTGGGTCTGTTTATTAGCCCATGGGCCTATAAACGGAGGTGGGCTTATATCCGGATATAGGCCCATGGGCTTATATGGGCGGAATTACGGTACATTGCCGTTGGAGCAATGACACACTTTCAACTTTTGTTCTACATGTACAACATTTATAACTCTCTGAGGGGGAGGGAGGGAGGGGTTGGGTCTAAACTATAATAATTCGTTTGGTGAAAAAGGTTCGATATTCACGGACGGCCCCTGTAATACAGCATTTCAATCTGGGTTTTTTAAATATAAAAGCTGGAGGGGCAAGCTACCAGAAGGGTATGATACCTCAAAAGGCAAAACTTCAACTATTTTCGAAGGATATTTTTTACGAATTGGGTTGATTCGCGGTATAGCCGACTTACTTGTGCAAACAACGAGACCTCTGGTGGCTTGAAGGTTGATGCGGTTAGTCCATCTGTCGGTTTTGCTGTGGTAGGTAAACGTGCGGTAATGGTTAGAAATCCGACCATATCCGTCGAGCCCATTGACGTAGATAATGAGCTTGTTCGTACCAGCTACGCGCAGGAGTTTGTCGACAGCTGCGCGAACAATCGGGTAGCTCTCGTAAATCTCCATGCTGAAAGGTCCGGAGTAATCGAAATGCTGCGACTCACGAGTGCAGTTATTGACCGCATGTTTCTCCGCGTCGAAGTACACCCAGCCGTTACATGCATGGACCTCGACATCTGTTGCGATCTTCTTGCCATTCTTCGTGATGTTAAATTCCTTGCGGACAGCGGTTTCTAACAGGCAGAATCAAGACAGGGCAAGACGAGTAAAGTCATTATTGGAAATAACATATTTTTTTGCTTCCCAGAACCGGGAACATTCCACGCCTTCTTTCATTCACATTCAAAGGAGTTGCTAGCAGGAATGTAGAAGCGGAACAAGTAAATCATCGGACCTGGACAATCACTCGAGTGCAAAATGTAAACTGGCCTCGGCATGTGAAAGCAGGGTACATTGGCATTTTAGGTCGCACTTGGGGACATGTGTATTATCAGGTGGTCTGAATGCGCACATTCACAAACGCATTAATTGCTGCGCCAGGAGAGCGTCTCCAACTTACGTTCTTCGCAGGTAGGGCCAGTCCATCCCCAGTCGCAGATACACGTGTTGTCCTTGTCATCTTCCACAATGCCGTTCCCACAGTGCTCTGCAACGGGGAACAGGAGAGGAGTTTGCGTGAACAGAGGCAAAGAGGAATCATTCAGCCCGTCGTGGGTCTAACTCAATGTTCCGGTATGTGAGAGGTGGTCCCGCAAACACATGTACAAATAACCAGCCATAACTCAAGAAAACTATACATTTTCAAAAACCTGTACGGCTATTTTCGGCCTGATCATATTGGGCAAAATTTTGTTGCAGCCGAAATTCAGTGTGACAGTGTATACAGGCAACAGCAGTACAGGCCGAAAATTTGTTGCAGCCGAAATGTGTTTTAGCCCTGTGAGGCCGAACTTTGAAAGGGCCGAAAATTTGTCGACTTATAGTATGCCTGAACCAGTCCAAAAACACAAATATGACTAGGTACAGGCAGGGTATGACATGTGGACGCCCTTCAAGTTGAGAGAAAATACAATTGGGAACGCAATACACGGAAATCATAGCATGACGTGCATATCAAGTGCACATCAAGTCGGAGCTGAAGTCCTACGATGAGCAATCAGGTAGACGCTACAAAATTGTATACTCCTAATTTCGTCCTTGAACTCCAATGCATCGCCATCGGCGATTCGTCGTCCGCGGCAGTTCCACAATATCGTAGTTTTGATTCGTTCACTTCAGTGCCGCTCGCGTCAGATTCACTCTCGCTCAGATGAGTACTCAGGCGCGATCTCACGCATGCCGTTATTCTCACGGCTAGGCGATCTGTTGATCGCACCTGACGAGTCCTTGTAAGAGTTGCTGTTGCCGTGCTTCCTCGCTGGTTCGGGTATTTTTGATTTCTTCATTCGGGGACAGGAGTTAGGAGGACGAAACGGAGCTCTCTTTCTCAAAACACATTACACTGCAAACCCTCCAGGGATATCCAGCTTGGACTGGTTCAATTTTAATGTTCTCAGAAAGCTTGTCAGCTCGTCAGACACGGTCTCAAGAGATGCACTCCCATTCTCGACATGCGCGCATGGTGGATGGTCTTCTTTTTCCAATTTCACCAAACTTCAGGTGTTCGATACTGCAACATTTGTATGGAAAGTATGGTTGTTTTTACACCGTTGGAAAGCCTTGAACCTCAGCTATGCGCAGAGCACAATTTCAGTCATCTCCTAGCAACAGAACACTCCAAAAATGCAATTTTACTGTACTGGTCGGGTCGTATAATTATGACCTTTACGCTTATGTGAGACCCATAAAGGGTTAAAGGAGACACATCAATTTTTTGAGCAACGGTACGGAGAACATGAACAACACGGAGTTTGAATGAACGGCAAAGGAGGATCATCTGATGGTCGCTGGGCGCGCAAGGCAGGTGGTTGCTGTATCCGGTGCCGTTTCTGTGTAGAACTGTCCAGGGAATGTAAAAAACCGTAATAAAGTAGTCGCAAAACCGGAGTTTGTTTACACCAGGTTTCACTGTGTCTTGAAAAATCAGGTTTGTACCGGTATTCCAAACAGGCTTCTACACGGTATCTGAGACAGGCTTTGACACAAGACACTACGGTATCTGCATTGCGCATCATACTAACCAGGAATTTCTGCTCAACACATATTTTTTAAAACGTTGCAAAGTCCAGGTTCATGTCCCACTGTGCTTCACGCATCCCCACATCATCTAAAAATAGCTGAAGATGATCCACAGTGTACAGATTATCATGTGAACTTCACCATCCACCATCTGTAGATGGCTCAATTGGACGAAAGCGAAAAACTCCATGCACAGACAGAAGAACGAGCAGTTGCCTTTTCGGAACTGAATCGATCAGATGAAAATTTATGTCGATTCAGGTTGTGAAACTCGACAAGCAGCTGGTCTTTCTTCCGTCTGTGAAGCACAACATTACAAGCCCACCGCAACACTTACTGACGCAGAGAACGGAACTGTACCCGGGATGCTGTGAGTCATCCTCGATCTTCGGTGCGAGTGTGCTAACGTCGAAGGTAACCTTGTTCTGTACACGCGGCTGGTTAGGCTGAGCAGCATGACTTGTTGCGTAGTAGGGGCCGGGGAATCTGCGCATTTCGGTTCTCGCAAAGAGTGGTCTCAGTTCGGCCTCGTGCTTCAAGAGGAACGTTTTCGTCGGGATGTGCAGGCCGTACCAGTAACACAGACGTTCGGCAGTGGGCAACGTTTCACGCTGGAAGTGATGCATGATGAGGGCTGCGACTGCCAGGGGTCCTGATCTGGAATAACGCCAAGCGGCTGGGACACACACACACACACACACACACACACACACACACACACACACACACACACACACACACACACACACACACACACATGTCAAAAGCATTGGAATCAGGGATGAACATGATGAAAAGCAGCATCGTGTGCTGATTGCTGGTAAAAGCAGCGATAGAAGGGTTTCACATCTTGCTCATGTGACTAAATTTGTGAAGAAAGACCAGATCATGATTGTCATATTGACAGTGGAACCAACATGGCCGACATCATTTGACCCATAGATGCAGGGGTTGAGTGGAGTTGGAACCAGCATGGCCGACATCATTTGACCCATAGATGCAGGGTTTGAGTGTAGTTGGAACCAGCATGGCCGCCCTGTATGGTCATGTGATAGCTGTGAAACCACTCTAGATCAGTTCACATGAGCCAGTCAAGACCATGCATTTTTTTCCTACAAAATCCACATATCTCCAGACACTGGGGTGAATAATGGAGTGTGGTGGTGGGGCCCATTAACAGCTCCGCCAACCAGATCTCGGCTTCGTAGCTCCATGGACGCACCAAAGGGATATTGGGTAGGGAGGATTAAGTTGAAAAGGAAAACAGAAGAAAGAAAACGGAAAGATTGTATTGCTCAGTGAGCAAAAGAATAAGTTGAGTATTGATGTGAACGCTGTTAGACTTTTAAATCCAAGAGGAGACTGTCTGTGAGGAGAGATTATGTCCAAGCAGGGTGGGACACTGTACCCTCTTACTCGCGTATGCTATGAGTGGCCCAGTGCCAGTTCGTTCTGAGGAGATGGTGATAAGCTGCTGTCTTGAACTTTTGGATGTTCTTTTGGTGAAATGGGTGGGGAATGCAGCTGGTTCCAAATACCGAACAAATACTAACACACGTAATGATCCAATAGGGAACTGCTTCTCTGTACCGAAAATTTCTGTTCACCTAACCTGGCCTGTTGCCCTCATACCGAAAATATTGAGCACCGAAAATTTCGGAAATTAGAGTACTCTATAACCGGCCGTGTGTGTGTGTGTGTGTGTGTGTGTGTGTGTGCGTGCGTGCGTGCGTGCATGCGTGCGTGTATGTAACTTGTCCCGAAAGCAAGAGTCCATAGCCCGAAGAGTGTGCAACTGGGGTCTGGCTGCTGTAGGCCCATTGCGCGGCAGAATTCCAACACTACGTCATGCCGCGGAGGCACAGCTGTACAAACCTCCGCATTCCTCGGAGCTTGGAACCGGGGAGTAGTACAGGCGCAACGAACGTGTACGTCATTTTTGACGTAATGTTGGAATTCTACCACGCGGATCTCCATATACAGAGTTGCACACTCTTGGTGTGATGAACTCTTGCCGAAAGTAAGCGCGACGAAGCTCGTTTTGGCAAACCAAAATATACTGCAAGCGTCACAACCGCTACGTGAGCCTGGCTGTTTGAGGCTATCCCTTTGGCTGCTGTGGTGCATTGCTGCCAGGGCTCAAAGGACCAGCGACGACAAGACATTCTTCACTGGAAATACATCACAGACTGTAAGTTCTCATCAACATGTAATGCGCAGCCATTATGTAATAGTACGGGCTCAGAGCCTGGGCATTGTCTAGACCCCAGTAATAGTATGGGATCAGAGCCCGGGCATTGTCTAGACCCCAGTAACAGTAGGGGATCAGAGCCTGGGCATTGTCTAGACCCCAGTAATAGTATGGGATCAGAGCCTGGGCATTGTCTAGACCCCAGTAATAGTATGGGATCAGAGCCTGGGCATTGTCTAGACCCCAGTAATAGTATGGGATCAGAGCCTGGGCATTGTCTAGACCCCAGTAATAGTATGGGAACAGCAGTGAAAGGGTTAACCGTATTCTCCCGATTCGATGTAGCTGCGAATACTTTCAGTGAGATGCCTGGCCACCACCGCTTACCATGACAGACAGTGTCGGCTTTGCTGGCATCCGCGGGCTTGTGGCTAGCTCGGCCGCCTAGCAGGGAGTGCGTGTAGATGTAGTGCCGCGCCCAGCCCAGAGTCCAGATGTTCACTGGCGTGGAGTAGCCGTGGTGCATCATGTCGACCAGCATGCCATCGAAGCAGCCCTGAATGTCCAACGCTTTGTTCATGAAGGCACGTTCGTCGGCGAGCACGTAGCCCCTATCCAGACACTGGCTATGGCCGTACGTGAGTCCTGCCCTCTTGTCGCATCCGCCGGAGCAGATTACTGTCAGCGGGATGTAGAAGTATCTGTAATGATCTCTGCCATTGCAGACCTCCTTCACATCTGTGATTAGGAAAGAAGACCGAGAAATGCACGCACACGCACATACCTTTACAAGCACAGGAGGCGAGTTGTGTTTACGAGTGCTGCCATGGTACTTCTCACGTTCTATTTACTCTGAGATTCGGGGGGGGAGGGGGGACTCAGCTAAATCATATTCTGGAAATCCCGTACCTCTACCAAGTCCTACCAACTTCTATTTGCTTTTGTTTGGTAGAGCCGGTAGAGAAAGTCAGAATCTACTCTTGTGAGTAGAAAAAAAGGAACGCATCAACCGAAAGAAGTAGTTTCTACGCAAACCTGTAGACCAGAATGAACACCCCCTTTGTTTGAGGAAGTTGCAAACGGGAAAAGTGAGAAGAAAGACAACAACAACAACAACTGTCACCACCAAGACTAGAACCAGAGACCCACAGTCTTTTCGACTCCTTTGAGTACACTCGTCTTTAGTGGAAGCTTGTGCGTGCACGCAGACCAGCATACATTAAGGAGTGTCTTTAAGTAATCCGCTTGGGCCTGTCTCCTGGGTGCATGCAGCATTGCTTGACCGGGTGAACACCAAGCGAATGAGCACACTCACTGCACACTCACTTCACACTCACTCAAAGATACTTACAGTACTGGCATTTGTCGCCGTAGAATCCTTTCCGACACGTGCAGGTGCCATTCTCATTACACCGAGCACGGTTCAAGCATTCGCATGCTGCATCAGCACATTGTCCAAACACGCAAAGTAGAGATGAAACAGCACAGAAGTTGTGGTATGTTTCTTGGCCATCATGGTTCAAGCCTCGACACAGCTACGAGTATTAGCAACATTTTGCTGCAAAATATCGAAACTTCACTGGCAAAATCGGGCTTTGCCTACTCAGAAGTCAAATAAAATATCACTTTTGCCACTGAGCTGGATTCCACATTAGGGCTTTTGGAATATCTCGGCACATATTTCTCCCAGTTTGGCAATAATATATTGACCTTTGATAAATATCCACACTCATTAGTGGCCACACCATCAGCAGTATCAAATTCGAATAAATTTCCTTTGACTCAATACATACCACTGCACTTTGCCAGGCAGCACTGCAGTTTTCCCTAAAAAGGAGTATTTTATAAACAGTATTTATTGGCTGTTAATAATTTTACCAGTAAGGCCAATAAAATTAATACTGTTTACAAAAGATTCCTTTTTAGGGAAAGTGCAGGTCAACATACGTATAATAAATGTAGTAGCCTAAGGATTTATTGCAATTACATATCATCAAGAGTCCATAATCCCCCAGAGTGCGCAACTGGGATGGGGTTGTGGCACGGCGTAATCCGTGACGTACGTCACGTTTTGGGTCGGACTTGCCTCATTCCATCGACGACGCCGACACGCAGTGCAGCACAGTTCACACTTCCCCTACCCGCGATGTCGTTATTATGACATGCAACACGGATTTCGCCGTCCCAGATCTGATAAGTAAAGATGTGCACTCTGGGGGTTATGCACTCTTGATACCAGTTGTAAAAACCTCGGGGCACCTCGGTTTTTATACAGTCATGTGCTTATAACCTCTATAAGATGAACGGAAAAAGGAAACCTATCCTGAGCAACTGCCACTTGCTCTTCTCGCAATGTTCTCCTTTGGGGCAGATGCATTTCCCTTGGTCGTTGCACTCACCCTGGTTCACACACTTGCACACTGCAGAAGTGGTAAAATACCACCGATTGTGTTTCCCACACAGCACAGCATGGGAAAGAAAGGGGACAGGATTAGATTCGGTTAGTGGTAACTGAGTTACAGAATATCGACAACAGGAATTCAAAATCTCACTTCCAAGGCAAGCATAAATGGACGGGGCAACGAGCAAGACCAATCAAAGGAGCCTTAGCAGTTTCTTTATGTCTGCGTTGGAAGTCTCAATATAAGGTCAACTTAGTGCGGAACCTTGTAAATCGTGCGAAGCGTATGTGTTCGCCCTGCAAGCTGCAGGAGGAGCTTGATTTTCTCCGTTCAGTGTTCGTGAAGAACGGTTACCCGAAGTTCCTGTTGCAGCACCTATACTTGAAGTCTTTGGGGATAGAAGTCGGACAGTGTTCGTCTTATGAATGTCACCACGGTGAGGAAAATATGGCACAAAAAACAGACACACGCCCGTGTTATATCTCCAAAAACGAAATCCTAGCGGGACACCCCAAACTTACCGGGTGCAGTGGTTGCCGCCTCAGTGGTTGCTGCCTCGGTGGTTACTGCCTCGGTGGTTGCTGCTTCGGTGGTTGCTCCCTCAGTGGCTAATGCATCAGTGGTTAATGCATCAGTAGTTGCTACAGAAGTGGTTGCTGCCTCAGTGGTTGCTGCAGCAGTGGTTGCTGCTGCAGTGGTTGCTACTGCAGCAGTTGTTGCATTAGTGGTTTCTGCCTTGGTAGTTACTGCCTTGGTGGTTGGTGATTCAGTAGTTGCTGCATCAGTGGTTACTCCAGCAGTGGTTGCCGCAGAAGTGGTTGCGCCATCAGTGGTTGCTGCAGAAGTGGTTGTTGCTGCAGCAGTGGTTGGCACAGAAGTGGTTGCTGCATCTGTGGTAGCAGCAGTGGTAGCAGCATCAGTGGTAGCAGCATCTGTGGTAGCAGCAGTGGTAGCAGCATCAGTGGTAGCAGCATCAGTGGTTCCTGGGTGTTTTGATGAAGTTCGTGTGGAGGTATTGTAGGGCGTGGTGGTGGTGGCAGCAGCAGATATAGTGGTTGCTGCATCCGTGGGCGTTTTGGTGAAGACAGTGTTGGATTTGGTGGTTGTGGCGGATGCGGTGGTTGCGGCATCCGTGGGTGTTTCGGTTGAGGTAGTTGTGGTATTGGAGGATGCGGTGGTTGCGGTATTTGTGTGTGTTATGCTAGATGTAGTCAGTGCGTGCACTGTGGGTGCGGTATTCTCCGAGGTAGTCTCGTGTGCTTTGGTTGCGGTGGTCGTGGGCACTGGGCTGTCATCGCCAGAGCCTGAATTGGTGGAGGCCGACTCCTCGTCGGGTGTTCGGTGAGTGACTGTGGTAGCCGGTGTAGTAGTCGGGGGATGACTGTAAGAGATGAACCTGGCCGAGGTGGTTGGAGTTGGGGCCGTGGCCGGTGTGGTGGTTGCGGCGTCCGTGGGTGTTTCGGCTGAGGCAGTGGTGGGTGTGATGTATGGTTTATTTGTGTGGACGAGTGTAGTGTTTGGGGTAATGGTTGGTGTGTACGTTGTAATATTCATGGGCACCGTAGGTAGATTGCAGGGGACAATGTTCGTCTCGTTGATTACTGGTTGGGAGAAAGCAAAAAAAAACAACAGAAGAAGAAAGCACTTGTCAGCATGTTAATTATTTGCCCGGCAGTGCGTCCAATTAGTAGCCTGACATCCGGTTGCTCAAATCCAGCTATCCTTTCTGGAGCAAGAGTCTTCACTTTTGAACCATCCAGAGAGATGCTCACTAATATGGTAAAATACCGTGTGGAGATCGTGTCCGCTTGAAGGTAAATCGAGTACGGATTGACTGCAAGACGTGCAATCTGTGTACAAGGTTCATATCGTCTGACCTGCAGACAGGACACCACCTCCACAATGCAATCACGAAAAGACGAGATGGTTGGGGGCCCTTGCAGTACTTTACGGTATATTTATTGTGGAATTTCTGCTGCGAAAATGCAATGCGATTCCCAAATACATATGTTCCTGCCTACGAAGGTACTTGAATACAAACTTCACACTGCATGTCTTGAGCAGTCTGTCACATCTTGCTATGGCCGCGGATTGCCAGCATTCGACTGGTCACAATGTATGCCCGCCGAGTGCCGCTGTGTGAACGTGCCTTTCTTCAGTTCCCGCTAAGAGGGGACATTACCCATTCCCTCTAAACGTTGTGCAAGTATCCAAGTACATGTATCAGCAATGTAGGCTCTTTTGATGTGAATGGAAGGTCAAAATTCAAAATTCAATAGAACTCGATCGATAACTGCCGAATGACCGAGGAAGTCACAATGGTTGTTAGATAAAGCCAGCAATGCCTTTTGTGTAGAACAGTGCCTAGGACAGCAGCGTGTCACTCAATATAGTGACTTGTACATTCATACATCCCCTATATTTTGTTCTTTTCCTCGTTTCTTTTTGTTCTCCATCCGTTTTCCAGTAGGGCTGTCAATACACTGTAGTAAAAAAAAAAAATAAATAAACACCATGAGCTTACATGAGTTGAACATAGCTCACTGTATTCGAAACGTTCTCAACAACTGCTCAGTGTCTCTGGGTCGGAGCATGAAAGCGTTTTAAAACATAAAATAAAAAAGCATTGATAGTGACTTACGCTTCTGGCAATAGTCTCCGGTGAATCCTTCTTGGCAGGAGCATGCACCATTGTCGTCGCACTGACCCTGGTTCAAGCACTGGCACGCTGCAGCGCCGATTGGATATGCAGCCACGGTGTGTGCAGAATACGGCAGAATACAGACAAAAGCACAGGATTTTAGTACTGGAAATTGAGGCATTCACCAAACACAGAGTGGCACATCGCCACTTTTCAAAACAACGATTGATTAATTAAGCATTGAAGCAAATGGCAATCAGACAATTCCAATAGCTTCAATTATGTCTGTTGGCGTACGAAAAACCAGGCTTACTCAATTCTAGACACCTTTTTAACAATATGTGGCATGGCCAAGGCTGGACTGGTCTGACGACTTCCCAATACTCTTCTATTCCCAACTGTCTTGTTACTGTTCTAATGTTTCTCGGCAATGTATGTTCTTTGATAAAAGTCAAATTCTGACTTACGTTTTTCACAATGTTTATCATAGTACACGGATCGGTCACAAGTACAACTGAGGTCCTCTTCAATTTCACCACCACCACAGTAATCTGCACGAAAAGTACACGCACACACACACACACACACACACACACACACACACACACACACACAGAAAAAAGAGATAGAAAGAAACATACTGAGAGAGAGAGAGAGAGAGAGAGAGAGAGAGAGAGAGAGAGAGAGAGAGAGAGAGAGAGAGAGAGAGAGAGAGAGAGAGAGAGAGAGAGAGAGAGAGAGAGAGAGAGAGAGAGAGAGAGAGAGAGAGAGAGAGAGAGAGAGAGAGAGAGAGAGAGAGAGAGAGAGAGAGAGAGAGAGAGAGAGAGAGAGAGAGAGAGAGAGAGAGAGAGAGACAGAGAGACAGAGAGAGACAGAGAGAGACAGAGAGAGACAGAGAGAGACAGAGAGAGACAGAGAGAGACAGAGAGAGACAGAGAGAGACAGAGAGAGACAGAGAGAGACAGAGAGAGACAGAGAGAGACAGAGAGAGACAGAGAGAGACAGAGAGAGACAGAGAGAGACAGAGAGAGACAGAGAGAGAGAGAGAGAGAGAGAGAGAGAGAGAGAGAGAGAGAGAGAGAGAGAGAGAGAGAGAGAGAGAGAGAGAGAGAGAGAGTAAGTAAGTTACATTTATAAAGACAGGTAAGTCTAACAAATGAGGACTGAGACCTCTACAACAGGGTTTTTACGCCTGAAAGCAGGTGCATGATTTAACAAGCAGGTTGTCAGTCTAGATTTTATGCGCAGATGGAGAAAAAGCGCAGAATTTTTGTAATGAGATGAAAAGCAGAAATAATAAGAAATAATAAGAAAAGATGAAATGAAAGCCTGCTCACAACCCCGCCCAGCCTTGCGAACTGGGTATGGTGGATTAAGAACCCGGTTCAACGCTCGAGCAAGCGCTCTCCACTCAAGGTGTTCACAGCAACTGATAGGAACTCATATGGGGAAATTATAGAAAAGAAATAATAAGAAAAAGTGAATAAATTTCAACGCACCTCAATAAACGGAGCCCCACATACAGTACCTCAGAAAAGTGGATCTTCCGACCAGTGTTTTTGTTGACGCCGCAACCAGATGATGTAGCTGCTTCGCAGAGACGTCTTACTGCACAAATTACAAATAAATTTTATTCTTCGATTAGAAAATCCAAGCGCTTTCAGAGCCCTCCGAAGAGAGTCCGGGATGAAACCACGCACACCTACCTCAACCGAAAAAGAAACGACCTGCCACCCGTTTGCTCGGCATTGATCGGCCAGATCCGCATACCGCCTGTCCTTCCGCGAGTTACTGACACTGAATCTGTCCTCAGCACAAACTGTCAACTCCATCCAGAATACAATCCTACGACTCGTAGAGTACAGAACTATATCTGGTCTTAGGGTGGTAAGTGCAACACAGCTAGGGAAAGAAATCTTTGCACTAACTGAGTCGACAAGAAGTTTCCAGTCTGAGGCCGCTGACAGGAGATCAGTCGTAACCAACTTTCGTCTGGGCTGAACGCGAACTGGCTTCTCTCCCGCCTTGCAAAACGAGATGAAGTCAAGCTCATTTGAATTTTCGGTTTGTACGGTGTTTGCAGCAGTGCGGATTCGAATCTCCTCACGCATGTTCCTGACGATGACCCCGAGTACGTTGTCGTGCCTCCAGGTGTAACGTCCCTGGTCCAGCGCTACGCGACAAGCGCCAAGCACGTGGCGCGTAGTACAGGCCCAGGTACGGCACAAACTACAGTACGGATCCACTACGGTGTTTCCCCAACGGCGTAGGTTCGTCGGAGAAGGTAGCACGTCGAGGGTTGATGCGAGAAGAAATTTCAAATCCTTACCAGTACCACCGTACAAAAGGGATTTCCACGAGAGGTCCTGCCACATCACCGATGTCCACTCCAACCACTTGCCTTGCACCTGAAGAGTCTTCAGCCTCAAAATCTGCTCCTGCGCGTTGATCTCCTCAAATGTTTGGAGAGAGAGAGAGAGAGAGAGAGAGAGAGAGAGAGAGAGAGAGAGAGAGAGAGAGAGAGAGAGAGAGAGAGAGAGAGAGAGAGAGAGAGAGAGAGAGGGAGGGAGGGAGGGAGGGAGGGAGGGAGAGAAAGAGAGAGATAGAGAGAGAAAGAGAGATAGAGAGAGAGAGAGAGAGAGAGACAGATAGAGAGACCGGGACATGCACCAGGGATCTTCGAGTTACAGTGTCAAAAACATGTTCGGACAAAGTCAGCCATTGAGACAGCAATCCAGATACAACAAGAAGATGATGAAGATTGTGTTGGGACTTCGAGTTTCACACGCGAGGTGATCATTAGACAACAGCAATGGACTATTCTGTTTTAACACTGTTCATCTGGCTGGGCATCACCCTCACCTCTGGGGTTGCTCCCCACATTAGCGTTGCGTTCATATGCTATGGAATTGAGTTCAGGAAATACATGAAATAGATGAAATCTCACTTACTGAAACAGAAGATGTCCGCTTTGCCGTCGCCCGGGCCGTGTGCAAATGTTGGCTTGCTATGATCCTCTTCAAATGTAACAGTGCGGTGACGCTGCTGTCCGTTGACCAGTGTCGGTGCAAGGTGATAAGGAGTGTGCGGCTCCAGAGACAGCGGAAGTGCCCAGCGCATTGGCAGTACACGACGGCCGTGCTTCTGAACCCAGTCCTCAGTTACCAGATGCAGTCCGTACTGCTGACAGGCTTCCTCGGCAAAGTCCACTGTGACCATGGGCTGATGGGCGGGCTGTGCCATTGCGTACGTCGCACTTTTCACTTGAAGCCATTTGCCTGCAGGCAAGAGCGGAGGCAGAGGCAGGCAGAGTACACATTATTTACATCGTGGAACAAATCCGAAGAAGGGCCCTACACCAGTATCTACCGTAGTGTTACTGTAGGCTGATAGTGTAGGCTGATAGTGTAGGCTGATAGTGTAGGCTGATAGTGTAGGCTGATAGTGTAGGCTGATAGTGTAGGCTGATAGTGTAGGCTGATAGTGTAGGCTGATAGTGTAGGCTGATAGTGTAGGCTGATGTTCGTACAGAGTAGTAACACACACAGTGTATGTACAGTACAACCTGGTGCAAGCCACCTCTGGGTTTAGCTACCACCTGCTCTTAACCACCGTTTTTCCATGCACCCACAGTTCTACACAGACACTGTGGGACCTGGCTCTAAAGACCACCTGGCTTTAGCGACCGCTTTTGCTTGCACCGTGGGGTGGTCGCTTAAACCAGGTGTTTACTGTACAGTAAGTCAGTGTAGGGCGATGTTCGCACTGAGTTTACATACCGTGCGTGAACACAGTCAGACCCCGCTTAACCGCAGACATCCGTTTTTCACAAAAAAATATCCGGATAGGCGAGGGAACTGATTAATCGAACACACCTACTGTACAGGTATGTATGCATGGCATGTGCTGTAAATCGGTAACCAACGATGTTATTCCGGATGGCGAGGGATCCGGATAAAAGAGGACCGCATAAGCGAGATCTGACTGTACTGGCTCAGTGGTTTGAACAATTGCACCGCTGAGGCCACTGGGGACGGGTTTCACCTGACTTCTAACGGTTGAATTATAATGGCTAGGGGTGTCATCGATTGGCGAATCTGGATTGAGTGCGAACTCGGTGTGGGGGCCGGTGTGGTCGGGTTCCACTCCAAGAGCACCTACTCCGGATCCGGCCGCTTTTGGCGGCCGCTTTTGTTACGGAGTCTGGTGCTCGTTCCCTTATCGAGTTTCACGATGGCCGAGACTGCTCATCTCCAGGGGCATGTGGTCGTCAGGCTGCATCAGCGGACAATCTTCTATGAGCAGATTGGCCATGGACGCGATTACGCGTTCTGCCTACACTGTGTAATGTACAGTGTAGGCAACTGAAATCCGACCCCCCCCCCCCCCCCTAGCGTCTCGTACGAATCGCTAACGCAGCTAGCGCACCGCTAGGGGGGGGGGGGGGGAGTCGGATTTCAGTTGCCAGCACTGTACATTGTACAGTACATGCGTATCGCGGGCTATCGACAAGTGTACAAACTGTCATAACTCAGTCAATATATCTCGGATGTCTCACGTTGAGACACCCCTTCCGCAAGCGTGTGCTCCCGTGCGTACTGCATTTTGTCGCCAACTTGCAAACTGGCAAAAGGAAAGTATCTTTCCAGATGGGATCCTGTAACGGCTAGAGCGAGTGTAACGGCTCTGGCCCAGAGGGCCAAATCGGTAGGTGTGAAAGTAGGAAAAACAGGTCGCAGGGGTTTCTCTAACACGTTTAAAAAATTGAAACTACGCACCCAGTTCATAAAACAAGAAAGAGGAAGCAAATGACAAAACATCAGTCTCACAATACATTGACTGAATGGCGCTGCAATGCAAGGCAGCGGTGGCGATGGGGAGCTGCAGGCTCGGATCTGTCCATGGCAAAGCCACTGTCCCTACCCCTACCCGATCCGTTCGCTGCTTTCTACTGTCCTCCAGACGTAGCCTCAGCCAATCTCGTAACATCTTTCCACTACCTTGCACATACCAAGCACTACATATACCAGACATACTACTGCTAACATGTACAAGACAAGCATCTGCTGATTTGCCATTTTTCATTTCTGCATCTTCCTTGCTGACATCATGCCATCGTGGAGTTATCACCTTAAAGAAGCAAACGCCTACCTTCGCAGACGACATGGTGATGCTGCGATCCATGAGGATCAAGTATTGTTTGTGTGTCGCCGTTTGTGTTCTGCAGGTAGACGAGATGTTGATGCTGCTCGACGTACGATGTCCAGATGGTGATGGGGTTTCTGTAGGTGCTGACCATCATCCTCAAGAGCAATCCTTCCATGCAGCCACGCACGTTGAGCTTGCGCGAGAGGAAGGCGGTGTATTCCGGCACGTCGTACCCTCTTCTCTGGCACATCTGGCGTGCATGTGCCAGATTGGTCTTCTCGTGGCAGTTGCTCTCGCCCAAGTGTGGATGACAGGGCAAACCGGCGAGGGCTGTCCAGGTGTATACTGCCTGATTGGTACCCAGACATTTCGTCTTAAGATCTGAACAGGACACAATACCGAAGCAGACCACATTCAGACACCGAATTTGACGGAACGTACTCGACTTGCACTTCCTCCATTCTGATATCGGAGTTAATTTCAGAAACACAAGCGAACACTTAAGAACGATGCATGAAATTAATGCAATTTCGAAGACATGGGAAGACTTTGGGTTTGGACATGATTCTTCGAAGGTTTTGAATAAAATAGTGCAGCTGTCAAGGAGAGATAAGTGTAAGTTCAGCCAGCTTTTGTTTATGGTATGGTATTTTTATTTTTATTCACCAATCGAACAGGCATATATACAGGCATATCTGCCTTCTTGCTGGGATGGCCAGAGCCAACCACGGCTCCTACTAATTGATGAATATGATAATGTGAAGCAAAAGAAAAGAATTTGTTTACTCTGGTTTGCATGTACAGAGCTGTTTCAAGGTTGGACCAACGGTTACTTTTTCAATCACTGGTGAACAGGCGAAGCCCAGTTCACGTTCACTTTGTATGGGAATGGAAGTGTAGAGGTGAAAGAAGAAGCAGTAGAACGGCGCTTCACTTTTATTATTATTATTTATTCTTCTTTTACTAGGGAATTCCCAACAGGCGTCAGCGCCTTTTTACAGGGAACCCTAGGTATAATTTGATGGATGAGCGAAATTCAGCTGGTGAACTAGACATGCGGCAAGCCGGTGGAAGTGTATTCCACCTGGCAGCGCCCAAATAAGAAATTGCACTGAAGCCATATCGGGTGTTAGCGGGGGGCAGAACAAGAGCAGCAGAGACTTGGCCACGGGTGGTGGCTGCAGTGCGAGCACCATGGGCGCGCAAGGTAAAGCGGTCTCGCAAAAGAGGACTAGCAAGTCCATTCAGGCAGCGGTAAACAAATACATAGGTTTTGAAGTTGAGGCGTTTCTCAAGGGCGGACAAGTTAGTATGACTGTATAGAAGAGTGGTGGGAGTCATTCTATCCAACGAAAATATTCTCTTTAATGCTACGCGGCTGGCTTGATGTCTGACAGTCGTGTTGAGTCAGAGCAGTTGCCAGAAAGCGGCCTTCCATGGCTTGGGCGAAAATGAACAAGCTTCAGAATCGCACCAAGCGCTAGGTGGAGACGAACCGGTCACATTTCGTGTACTTTCAATGCGTTTTGACATGCGACCTGTTCACCACAAGCTCGGCGGTGAGCACCGGCACGATGGCAGGCATGGCATTCTTGAAAAAGCTCTATTTCACATTGTCACATGTATTGTCCAATTTCACAGCAGCACACATCGCAGCAGCAGCAGCACACACACACACACACACACACACACACACACACGCACACACATGCACACACACACACACATACACACACCAAAGGAACGTGTGTGCGTGTACACTTCATTTTAATAGCAGATACAGTCAAATCTTGTTAGGACGAACTTCAAGGGACTGAACACATTTATTTTTCTTATCAGGGGTTCTTCTTATCCAGATCTGACAAAAAATCGATATGCATATCGATTGTATTTACGTGAAGGTGCATGCTGTGGTACATGGGAAGCATGTTATTCTTAGAATTAAAGCCAGAAACAGGTAAGTACAATGACACAGTGCAATGAATCACGACTGTGTCGAAAGTTCATACAACGCACTGATTGATTTGTTCAAAACACGCTTGAAAACAATTTGCACTGTACGTACAATATGACCTCGACTATTGAAAAAAAAGAAGAAGAAAAAAGGCAGCCAGCGCACGCGCACGCTCGTGGACCGAAAGTTCGTACTACATGTACATGACCACACTGACTTTGTTCAAATCACACTTGAAAATAGTTCGTCTTCGCGAAAGTTCGCTGTACAGAAGTTCGTCGTAAACGAATAATTTTGACTTGAATTGGTGCCTGGCCAACCATAGGATTGGCCTTAGTTCGTACTAATGGAAAGTTCGCCTTATCAGTGTTCTTCCTAACGAGGTTTGACTGTACTTACTGTCTTGACATTGGTGTCCGTGGAATCCTCTCCGGCAGCTGCATTGGCCGTCCTGTTTACACCGGCCGTTATTCAAGCAATGGCATACTGGAGTAGTGATACAGTGTGTTCAACAAACACACACACGAATAAAGACAGAACACCATAGCTTATCAGGGCGAAATACAGAACCAAAGTTAGGGGGGGGGTATGTTTTGTGAAATTGAAGGAATTAGAACCATACTAACAAACTTACATCCCAGCAGGAAGGGTGAACCAGTGGATTTAGATAGAAATTTCTGCATGGACTTTTATGGCATAGCGTTGTGGGCGAGGAAAGTGGCGTTGTTTCGAATATAAGGCCATGGCATACGGTAGACAGTAAAACTTGTGACTAACGACCACCCCTTGGGGCCAGAGAAAGCCGTCTTTAGTGGCCGGTGGTCCTTAGTTAGAAGTTTGCACCGCGCAACCATATGTGAATGTGAGACCGTCCACGCCTGGCGAAGTGGTCCGTAGTACCAGGCCGGTCGCTAGTCACGGTGGTCCGTAGTACCAGGCCGGTCGCTAGTCACGGTGGTCTGTAGTACCAGGCCGGTCGCTAGTCACGGTGGTCGCTAGTACCAGGCCGGTCGCTAGTCACGGTGGTCTGTAGTACCAGGCCGGTCGCTAGTCACGGTGGTCTGTAGTACCAGGCTGGTCGCTAGTCACGGTGGTCTGTAGTACCAGGCCGGTCGCTAGTCACGGTGGTCTGTAGTACCAGGCCGGTCGCTAGTCACGGTGGTCTGTAGTACCAGGCCGGTCGCTAGTCACGGTGGTCTGTAGTACCAGGCCGGTCGCTAGTCACGGTGGTCTGTAGTTACAGGTTTTACTGTATATTCATCGGCCACTGGGACCCGCAATGAGTACAGTTTTCCGGGGCAAGTGATGATTATTGGATGCAATGGCTCAAACAGTACTGTGCCAATGTACAGGTCCATGATGTGTACTCGTCAGTCATCATGCACATACATAGGCAGCACTCCCACTCTGAGGGGGGGGGGGGGGGGGGATCACTCTCTTTAGAAAGGGGGGGGGGGGGATCAAAAGTGAAGTAGGGTGCAGCACCCTATTGGGTGCTGGGATTTTATATACAGTATAAAAAGTATTTATCGGCTCAAAAGACTATGAATGCTGTTTATGAAATACCACTGAGGCTAATAAATACTGTTTGTAAAATACTCCCTTTTTATGGTAAAGTGCAGTGCTGCATGGATAAGTGCAGTGGTATTTATTAAGTTAAAGTAAATTTATTTCAATTTGATACTGTTGATGGTGTAGGCACTAATTAGTGCGGGTATTTATCAACGGTCAATATAAATGTATTAGTCGGTTTACTTGAATGGGACGAAGGCACACGAAGGCATAACCGGTGCCTCAAACGCACAGCATACATGCACCCATGAGTCGTACAGTCTTTGACAGGCTAGAGCTAACAATACAACAGTTGTCCACTGTCCTTACCTTCTGTGCAGTGCTCTCCGAACACTCCTTCCTTGCATTGACACTCTGAGTTCTTTCTCACCCAGTTACTTTCGCACAAGGCTGTGTTATATATCACAAGGAAGAGGAACAAGGGAGTGAGAGGTGCAATGGAGCCATACACAGAGATGAACAGACAAGGGTTTCATGGTGAGAGAAGAAAAATAAAACACCGCTCCGACCCCTGTGAAGCGGGAAGTATCCTGTGCGAGGCAGAGCAAAGGCAGCCGCAACCAAACACGGATGGCGTTGTTCTAGGTACCAACCAAACTTTCCTAGACTCACATGAGAAGGACGCTTTGGAGAGTCTCCTAAAATTCAGAGAGGATATAAGAGCACTTCTCGAACTTTCCCGAAAGGCTCGAACTTCTCCGAGAGGATTTGAGAACGCACCCTAAGTATTCTAAAATGCATTCATCTACAAGATCAGTCAGGAGAGTGAACTGCCTGAAAAGAGAAAAATGTCGGACCCACCAGGACTCAAACCCGGCACCTTGGGCAATGCTCTAACCATCTGAGCTATGGGACCAGGCTGAACCTAGAAGGCGTTGAGAAGTTTACGATAGTTCTCCCAATCCGTTCGAAATTCATCTTTACTTACAGAATTGGCACTTGTCTCCGGTGAATCCTTCTCGGCAGCTGCATTTACCCTCGCTATCACACCGGCCCTGGTTCAAGCATGTGCATGCTATGGACACGGTCAGGCATACAGTGGAAACAACATCACAGCGCAAGACAGAATAAAAAAAAACATGGCAATTTATTCATAGAGCATTGGGAATAAAGCAGTTTGACAGCAAAACGTCACCAGCGAATAAGCCCGAGTGTCCACTTACGATCTAGGGATCATGATCAGACTGCGCAGATGCTAGCCTTCGGTGTACGTAGTGAGAAATCTACTCGTGGCACGTCTGGTTTCTCTGCATGCCGAGTTGCGCCCATGTGGCGGCTTTGTCCTGCTTTCACAATACTGAAAGTGGTGCAGGTAACGGTGGACCGGTCAAATGGCGTTGGCCATGATACCTGCCCGTTTCCCGACTGTCATTTCAATGTTGTACTCAGACTTTGAATGATGTGTGCTCAGATTATTTTTGAAGAAAAGTGTGTAATTTTCCGGCCGGTCTTACCCTTTTCACACTGTTCACCATATGACGTGTGGGGGTTACACATACAACTCGTGTTCGGCGCAAGAAAACCGATCCCACAGGACTCTGCGCAGAAAACGAAAGCAAACAGCTCAATAGCACAAGTTCCAGTCCGCACCCCAGGCTGATGCAGGATCACAGGATCACGGGATATTATAGTTTTACTAGGTTTTATTCATTGGAGCCGACGAGACCACACGACGCTTGCAGACCACAGTACGAAAGTAAGATGGCAACAAAGAATTATGATTATCATATCCACTTGCGCTCGACATGAGGACGGCAGCTCAGAAAGCGTCATCATTGTCATCGCCATGAACAACCACTGGGTAATTCTAAAGCCCTGTTGGTACAAGTCGGGGTGGCAAAAGGCAGGGGCGTCCGAAGCGGTGCTGCAGATGCGGCTTTGGCCGCGCCAATACAATTCCCTGTGATTTTTGAAGCAATAAGATATGGTCTGTTTGCCCCCCCCCCTCATAGTCGCACCAATGCAGAGTACCTTCTGACAGCCTGCATTGAAGTAAGGAATGTTGGCGCAAATCCTGTTGCCACAAGATACATTTTAAAACAACAAATGGCCACGCACATCATGTTGTTGGCAGGTACAAAAGCATGATTGGGAATTGCAAGCCGTTCGTGGAGCCAGCCATTAGTTTTCATCTCACTTACTGACACAGAGGATTTGGGCTCGCTGATTGCTTTCGGCATCATCATACAACAGACCCTCCGTAGTAAACTTTACGGTTTTGTGAACCAACTCTCCGTCTATCTCGACGGATCTGACGTGGTAGGGATGGTGCATGGGTTTGTTCTCCAGGGCTAATGTATTTAGCCAGCGGTCTACCAGTGCATCGCCGTGTACTTCCAGCCAGGCCATGCTGATAAGGCGAAGTCCATACTGCAGACACGCTTCCTCGGCGAAAGGCTCCGTTACGATACGCCTCGATGCTGGTGTTGCCGCGGCGTACACAGAGTTGTTAGCGTGAAGCCATCGGGCTGCAAGAAAAGGGCAAGTACAGAGGCGGGTAGAGGGTAAGCTTAAATACTGTATAAGCAGAAATATTCGTCTAGGATTTAATTTCGTCGTTTTCATCCGAGGGGCGTTTGGACTAAATTAAAAGCCGGACTGATGTCGATTTGTCCAGCCTTCCAATGTAATCTTATGGTCCATGGATTGAACTTTCAACCGGACGAACTCCCTTTCTCTGGAGTTGGACGAAATTGTTGACCGACTGAATTTTCTAGGGCTTCAACGGGTTGGGGTTTGATCGGGTAACATGTTCGGGTATTTTTGTCCGGGTAGCACGGGTACCCTGTTGGGTATTTTTATCCGGGTAGCACGGGTACCCTGTCGGGTATTTTTATCCGGGTAGCACGGGTACCCTGTCGGGTATTTTTATCCGGGTAGCACGGGTACCCTGTCGGGTATTTTTATCCGGGTAGCACGGGTACCCTGTCGGGTATTTTTATCCGGGTAGCACGGGTACCCTGTCGGGTATTTTTATCCGGGTAGCACGGGTACCCTGTCGGGTATTTTTTTGACATAGTTTGTACTGTGAGTATGCACATGTGCTGCTCAGAAAGTGTAAAGTGTAAAGTGTACAGTAGCACATAGCCATGCTGTTTACATGCACCGTTGCAAAAACATCGTACTCCAGCTACCCGATCGGGTTCTGAGGAGCAAATCGCTACCCTCCAACCTGATCAAATTACGGGTAGCACGGGTACCCTGCTACTCGTTGACACCCCTAGAATTTTCAGCCAGTAGAGTATACCATGTAGCAAGTCCCAACACACCCTCTTCTGACTGGGTGCTCAGCATGTGTGTACCGCTATGTGTTCCTGGCGAAATGAATTGGGGTTATGATTAGTTCGAAGGGATTCAGGAAGCGCATTAAAGCGGTCAGCACCAAGGAATGAGATATGTTTGAATCCAGCTGGAGTTTGCACAACGAGTAAAAAAGGCAAATATTGACTTTACTATGTAGAGGTACGCTATCTCATTAATTCATATCACTGTTTACTGGAACTCAACCACAGTCCATTCATAAAAATTAGGGCCGAGTCCAGTAGCATTTTCCTCGAGTATCGGGTTCGGTTAGTTTTCCACGGGTAGCACGGGAACCCGATCGCATAATTTCCCATTGTAACACCACAATGCACCCCTTCCCTTATACACTGGGTAAATATACAGAGTATTACATGACTGTGTGCACGTGCACTGTACGTGATATCATCTGCGACTTCGGGTTTTCGGGCACAATACTATTGATATCATACTGTACCCGTCTATCTGAGGTCCTCACGGGTAGCACGGGTACCCGACTACCCGTGCACTACCCATGCACGCCACTAATAAAAACATTGACAAATATAATATTGACAATAAGTGGGTCAAACCTAGGTTGCATTTGTTTTTTGTCCACTTGGCACAGTAGAGTAGAGCGGATGTTGAGGCAGTGGGTGATAGATCTACCCATTTTGGTAGAACGTCTACCCATTTTTGGTAGAACGTCTACCACTTCTAATGGAAGTAGTTTCTAGCCAAACCTGTAGATGAGAACGAACGTCCCCTGGTGTCCGCAGGTCTAGGGCTGCACAGCGCCTCTCTGCTGTCATTCCTCCTGCCCTGTCCTTATCGTATTCCCCACCCTGTCTACTTCTTCCTAGCTTGCATTCGTTTTTTCCTATGGCATTACTGATAAAGAGCAGTAGCCTACCTTCACAGATGACGTCATGATGGCTTGTTCCATGCGTATCAAATTGTACATCTTTCTTGTCATTCTGGCTGTGCCTATAAATGACATGCTTTCCAGAGTACGTAAAACTGGTCCACACGCCAATAGGGTTGCTGTATCCGTGTCCCATCATTTCTTTGAGCAATGCTTCCATGCAGCCACGCACGCCAAGCTTTGGTGTGGTGAAGTGGCCGAAATCGATGACGTCGTATCCTCGACGCCTGCACATCTGCTGGCCTTGACTCAGATCGGTCTTCTTCGCGCGGTTGGGCTCGTCCACGTGCGGATGAGTCGGCAAGCCGGCAAGAGCCATCCAGGTGTACATTACTCCATCTGTCCCTGGGCACATGGTTTTGAGAGCTAAACACAACACAGTGCATATTCAGAACATATTTAGTGGCGGTCTAGCTACATTCTCTCGAAACATGCACACTTGCTCAGTGGAGAATTGAATAGTTGGTTCGTTAAAAACCCACCAACTTTGCCAAACACAGTCAGTTCAGATCTCATCAAAATTCCACCACAAGACAAACTTCTACATTCAACACCTGACTAGAACTATTTCAAAACTACCGACTCCTCGTCGGTTATTTAAATACTTTAAACGGAGATACTCTCGCGATATCAGACGGAATGTCCGAGCACTGTGCTTCGCAAGCGTTATGTGCGTGTAGGTGCAGTGAGACAGTGCTGCTTTTCTTTTCATTATTTCAATAATTGATTGACGCACGGTTATCAGTGCACAATTCATTGTATTCATTGCTAACGTACGATTTGAACTTCGTACACCAAACGCACGAGCGTAGCACCGCTGTTGGAGGTGGTCCGGTTGGAGGGGGTCTGGGGGTGTCCCACGGGAAATTATTTTGAAATTAGGGTGCAAAACCCTGCATTCTGGGCACTTCTGGGCAAAAAAGTGGTGCGGCAAAAGCCGGACCGGCTGCTACGCCCCTGAAATCTAAACATATACGCAGTCCGAATACTAGTATCTGCTAAGATCAAGCACTCCGTTCACTACGGTATTGACCGTACCACTCCTCGTCCCAGGTAGCCCGTGAATCAATCAAATGTACTGATTTGGACTCTAATTTTCGAGAAAAAAATCCGGCAGAGGCGCCACCCCAACCCCATGAGTAAAATCAATAGTGCCACCCTAAAATATCTTCCGACGCCCCTGCAAGCTGATGACTTGTTTCAACAGAGGGGGTCTCTGTCTGATTTTGCAATTTTACTACTCCACTGGTTGCTAAACACGGGCAACCTACATAGAAAAGGAACCCCGAATTGCACACCCTAGATATATTTATTCCCGTAGCTATGCAGAAGACGTTACTTCAGTAACGTCTGGCGCTAGCCAGGGTCCACACAGCTTTAATTTGGTGTTTGTGTGTTTGTGTGTTTGTGTCACGCCTGGCGCTATCCCGTATCTGTCGCGTACCGTACCGTACCATCAAACACAGCTGGCCACATACAGCTGGCCGAAATATTCAAATAGGGCTTTCAAACGCAAGATCATAACGTGAAGCAACTTGGTAGAATGAGTATGAATGCGAAGTGTATGGGGGAATGCATGTACGGCGATAGTGCGGGTTCTAATCCCAGGTTATGCTAAAAAAATAGGAGAATTGAAAATTTTATAACATCTCTATGCTTTTTTGCCTAGGTCATCAAGGCGGTAGACGATGTCGTATTACCCTCGACCGTACCTGTCCCGTACCTGTCCCGTACCGTGCTATCAAAGACGGCTGGCCACAATACATATTCAAATAGGGCTTTCAAATGCAAGATCATAACGTGAAGCAACTTGGAAGAATTAGTTTGTATGCGAAGTGTATCGGGGGATGCACACACGGCGATAGTGCGGGTTCGAATCCCAGGTTATGTCTTTTAAAAAAAAGGAAAAAAAACATCCGGATGCTTTTTTTTGTCCATGTCATCAAGGCAAAAAAGCATAGCGTAGGGCCCTGAGCTTCCAAGCTCTCTCGTTATACTATTGATGACAGGTTGAAACTTGACCCGGCTCCAACTCCAACAGGGTTGAAAACTCTCATGTAACACACAGCCCAAGCAATTGCCACACCTGTTTAGTAAACCGTTTCCTCGGAGACAAGAATGCGATAATACTGAGAAGGAGGGCACATGAAAGTTCACTAGTGAAAATTTTCGAGATGTTCAAGAGCCTGAAGTGTACCCATCTCCTCAGTATAATCTCACTGTTGATCCGAGCTAAGGTATGCTGGGATACAAAGTGCACGGGACTATTATTTTGATGTTTGAACTGCAGTGGTCTTCTGTTCTTCTACAGCATGGAGGCAGGGTTGTTGTCCGTAACTTATGATTTTCATAGCTTTTCACACCCGTGTTCTGGCACATAGTCCGAATGGGGCACGGACGGCACGTGCACTCCCCTACAAATTTCAACCTAAGTTCAGGATGCATATGCTCATCATGAATGACATGTACCAGCAATCCTACACATAGTAAATTATGTGCCTGTGCACCCTAACCCCCCCCCCCCCAAAAAAGGGGGACCAGCTACGTCCCAGTGTGTTCTTCCTACGGAATATTCAACAAGAGAAGAAAATAATTGCGCTTTGAAAGTCGAAGTTTGAAAGCTGGGTTAGGGGCCAGATCATTGCTGCACAACTTGCACAGTGCTGTTCAATGAAACGAAGATGGAGCGAGTCAGCTTTGCGCCCTGGATCCATGAACATTCCAGTTTTAGCAGATCCGATGGCTGTAGGACGCGTGGCACGTACAGGTGCCTCCTGATACAACGAACACCATTGTGCAGGAGGATCAGTTCGCTATAACAGAATATGGACATACATTGTAGGCTTAAACTGGGACATGGAAAACTGTTCGCTATCACGAAATTCGCAAAATGCGTGCTTGTTATAAGTGGAGTCGACTGTACAACACTCGCACAACCAGGAGTTTTTTCGAAGTTTTAAAAGCAGAAAAAAGTAAAGTTTCATTCAGCAATACACGGTACACTTAGGCAGAACTTACGGACACAGGTGTGGGTAACACTACTTAGTTGCTGGCCTTTAGTGCACGCTATCGCGTTACTTGTGTCCATGACGGACAACACCAGAAGCAAGGGAAGTAGCAGCTCAGGTGTTTGTAGCGTCGTCCCCAGCTGTGAAAGGCCACAGAGAGACAAACCAGATAAGAGACCACGTTGTAAGAGATGATGATGCTAGCGAATGCATTGTGTTTGTAACAACGTGATGTCTGTGAGTTCGTGGAATACCAATGTGCATTGTTTGATATCCGATGGACTGACTGACTAGTTTTTCATAATTAATTTTTATTTCTCACCAGAGTTGAGATTTTGGTGAGAGGCCCGCAGTAGGCTATTTTATTTGCCTAATTTCTGAACTTCATGCCTTACCGGAGCGCACAGCTGCAGTTGGCCGGAGAGAACTTCACTCGCCTGTCCCAAACATGAGCAGGCAGAAGTTCATCGCCCCTTGCGCTGCGAAAAGTCGACGCCGAGCGCTGTGCGCATCGCGTTCTCCTTGCTGTCGGAAAGGTCCTGTCACATAGACAGCAAGCGGCCAGCTATCCTTCTCTGAATCCTCTACCACCACTCGAGTCCATGCCCATACATTATCATTATGATAGCACTGTGGCGGTATAGGCAGTGACAAGAAGCTATAGCTGCTAAACAGGAAGGTTGGCATTATTTTCGAGCTGATTCTCCTCGAGAGAGAGTTGCATGATTCAACGATAACGATGTAAGTAAAGCCTTCGTCTTCGAACTCAGCAGCGCGTGCCTTTTGCCTACTTTTTTTCCTCCTTTGCTGTACGCTCAGCCTCGTACACTCGACCTACGCAAGCCCGACTTCGGCGCGTGCGAGCTGCTATTTGTGCTAATCAAGCGCGCTGTCTGTGATCTGCACGACACAGCCGCGCCTCCGCTGCCGGCCTGCCGGGTATACGCGAACCGGATGGCACCTTATTTCACACGCAGCACATTATTATTATTATAGACACAATCTCATAGCATGTGACAAGCATAGCTAATGCAGTAGGCCTTGACGGATTATGCTAATATTTTCGTAAAATTATGCTTTTCGCATTGCTGAAAAAATTGCAGAATTATGCTATTTTTATGCTAAAATTTATCATATTATTATGCCGCATTATGCGTTGTCTGATGATTGGTTCAGCCATGAAACTCGGAGTATGCCGCATTATGCTCACATATGCTGCTAATGTATATGATGGTTCTGTGCAAAATAACAGGGGATTTTTTTTATAGGGCGTTGTACTGTAGCAAAAGTTCAACGGGGTCAACGCACCATCCGACCTACAATTGTAGCTACGACCATCACCAAGAGTGCATAAACCGTTTATGGACTCTTGCCATCACCAAGAGTACATACTAGTACCGTAAAGTACCGCCAGAGCGCCCCGTCTCGCGAGAGCGCCCCACCTTGATTTTACAGTCAGAGGAAGGAAGATCGTACGGCAGCGTGCAACGAAGTTTATACGATGTGAGAATCTTAGGGGCCTATTATATGTGCAACTCCAGCCCGGGCTGGAGCAAGCGGGCCAGCCCGCCAAGGGTGTTTACATGTGCAAGGCCGGGCTGGTCGCCAGCCCGCAGTGAGTTTATATGCGCTGAGCACACGCCAGCCCGTTGTGAGTATGTAGCAAATACACTACGACTGTAGTGTGCTGCCCCGGGCTGAAACGCAGGGCTGCAGGCCATACTCAGGTTATACCTAAAAACTTTTTTTCTCATACAATGTACTTTGAAGTATTCTTCTGCTGATTTCTTTTCGCGCTGTGGCACATGTTTGGTACATGGTGTGTTGTATCACCTCGTTTCTTTTCCCTGTTTTTCACATTTTTAGCTGTCCATATCAAAGTATTTTGCAAGTAGTTCCCCTTCCACGTTAATGTAAATCATGCATGTCGACAAATAAACAGTGCTCACTGTACGTCCTTCTTGTTGCTGTACAAAAAGCTTCATAGATTTTCAAGACAATATCGGGAATCCTCTTTATAGCTACCCTCAAAAGGTAAAAGTACCTATTTTGTAGTATGAACGCAGTGTAGACACCATAATAATATAACTCTGGCCCGGGCTGGTCTGTTTATATGTGCTTTTTCTGGCCCGCCTAGCCGGGATCCCGGGTGCCTCGAGGCGGGATCCCGCCTCACCGGGCCAGCCCGCTTGCAATGTAAACGCACCACAGGTTTTGTGTGGATTTGTGTACAACCCCGAGATCCCGTTGCAGGCGGGCTGGCCCGCCTGTCGACCAGCCCGGGCTGGAGCTGCACATATAATCACCCCCTTAGGCTGTGTTTACATGAGAAATTTCAACCCGGGTCGAGTTCAGCCCGGGTTGAAAGTCTGTACGATAGACAAAAGAGGTGAGCGTTTACGTGAAGACAGTTGACCCGGGTCAAATACTGATATGCCGCCAAAAGTCCACTTCTACAGTCCTGTATGGTCACGTGAATCCGTTCGCGCGAAATTTGCATCTGCAGTGCTGTTCAAACCTGGCGCGAGATACGCACAGAAGTACGTTTGTACGATTTTCTTGACCCGGGTTGATTTCAACCCTCCCCTTGGGGGGAGGGTTGAAATCAACCCGGGGCGAAATTTCAACCCGGGTCAAGCGCAATGCGTCATGTAAACGCGCCATTCACTTTGTGCACATGGCGGGTTGAAATCTGACCCGGGTCGAACTCAACCCGGGTTGAAACGCTTCATGTAAACACAGCCATAGTGTACTAAGGTCACACTTGGCAGGTTTTTGTGTGGAGCTTGTGTCCGCTCGAAGGTACGGATTGACTGCAAAACGTGCAATATGTGTACAAGGTTCATGTCGTATGACCTACAGACAGCAGACCACCTCCACAATATGACCACGAAAGGATGAGATGGTGGGGCGCTCTGGCGGTACTTTACGGTAACCCCAAGAGTGTGAAACTCCAGCTATGGGGTCTGCGACGGGCCCTAGTGTCAGCCCAAATTTGCCGGCAATTCTTTTGGCATAATATCGAAACATTTTAGAAAAAGAATTGCCCGGCATATTTGGAGCATAATTTCGAATTTTTGGAGATTTTCACCGTGATTTCGCATTGTGAGGTCAATCTTCACACTTTAAAATGTGAACCCAGCAAAACCGAGCAAATTTCGATGTTTTTCTGAAATTTTCTCCAAAATTCGGTCCAAATTTGGCGTTTTTGAAGCTGTCATTGAGCATGATCAGAGCAAAATATCGTCTTCGCCCGGAAATGCCAAGCATAATATCGAAAGAAGCGCAGCAAAATTATGCGGCGTAATATCGAAAAGTCTCGAGCAAATTTGGGCTGACACTAGCGACGGCAGAACTTCACATCACGTGATGAACCCGTACACATTATTTGCACTCTGTGCATTATAGATACAGGGTTGTACGCAGTCCAGCTTTGGGTACAACTCTCTTGTGGTCACTTTGCACTGTTTGCCAGCATTAGTGTCAGCCCAAATTTTTATTATTATTATTATTAAGTTGATTGTTCCAACTAGGAACACACGCTTCTTGCCGAACTTGACACTTGACTGACTCACGACTGCAATCCGGAGCACACAAAGCGTCTCTGTTAGTTTGTATCCCTGGTGATGGTTTGGCCTGGAGAGCAGTATATAAGTGGTGCTTTTCAGGCACAATCTTCCTCAGCCTACTCAAGCTCAACTGATGAGGGGTGAATTCCCCGAAACACCGTGTATTGAGCAGGGAGTGGTGCTTTTTTGCAGGTTTGCCGAGTGGAAGGTGCGACGTGCTCCTCGTGTGCTCCGGATTGCAGTCGTGAGTCAGTCAAGTGTCAAGTTCGGCAAGAAGCGTGTGTTCCTAGTTGGAACAATCAACTTCATGACTATTACCGCCGAAGTCGCAACTTCTAAGTTCGTATTGTTGTCCCTCACGCGGACGTGCGACTAGTTGTTGGAGGTGACAGCGTTGTGAATAGCTATACTGGCTCTCAACGTCTGTTTATCACAACTCCATGAGCGACTCTGACTCACGCTGCTACCTGGAGCTTCACGAGGTGTTTGTCGCGCTGGAAACAAAGCGTCTCTGTTAGTTTGTATCCCTGGTGATGGTTTGGCCTGGAGAGCAGTATATAAGTGGTGCTTTTCAGGCACAATCTTCCTCAGCCTACTCAAGCTCAACTGATGAGGGGTGAATTCCCCGAAACACCGTGTATTGAGCAGGGAGTGGTGCTTTCTTGCAGGTTTGCCGAGTGGAAGGTGCGACGTGCTCCTCGTGTGCTCCGGATTGCAGTCGTGAGTCAGTCAAGTGTCAAGTTCGGCAAGAAGCGTGTGTTCCTAGTTGGAACAATCAACTTCATGACTATTACCGCCGAAGTCGCAACTTCTAAGTTCGTATTATTATTATTATTTTATTTATTTTACTAGGGTGTTTCCCACAGACCTATGGTCTTTTTACGGGAGCCCCTAGAAAGGTTAAGCATGAACGAACAAATTGGCGATAATCTGTACAAGAGCGAACAGTGGAAGGCAGCATATTCCACCGATCAGAACCTATGTAGCCAAGACGAGAAAAACCAGCTTTAGTGTGGGCAGAAGGCAAGGCCAGAGAAAAAGAGATTTGGGACCTAGTGACGGCAGTAGTATGTGCACTGGAGGAGCGGGTATGGAAAATTTCTTTTAGGAGGGAGCTACATGTGTCGCTATGGACAGAGCGAAATACAAGAATAAAAAGCTTCAAATTGACTCGGACAGAAATGTGAGAGAGATTGTATAGGCTAAGAATATGAGAGGCACTGGTAAAGTTATCAAAACCAAAAACTATTCTTAGACACCTGTTAAATAGGCGGACATACTTATCGAAATAGTAAGAACTGAGGGTGTGGACATATGCGCTACTTGCATACTCCAATGACGACTGAATAACACTAAGGTAAAAGCTACGCCGTGCGTGGAATGGCAAGAGATGTCTTGACATGCGGTAGGCGCCGAGTTTCTTGTTGACAGACCCAATCAAACCGTCAATTTGTGGCCCAAAAGTCAGGTGCTCGTCAATGACAATGCCAAGATAGCGTGCGGACTGCGCTCGAAGAACATGGACGCCGTCAATGACGACACTGGCGGAATCAGGCACTGCTGTTGTCTTT